AGTGGTATATTCCGCTGTTTTGACCAGCAGTTGGTTAAGATTTGCTATGAACATCAGTAAGCGAAAAGAGTCCTTTGAGAGAACGAGTGAGTAAGTCTCTTCATAATCTATACTCTTTGCTTGTTAGTATCCCCTTGCGGTGAGACGGGCCATATATAGGTTATTCCTTTTTATGGTAAACCTCCAGATTGTTGTTAGAATGGTTTCTGTTGTGATATGTTTTCAATGGGTATGATGGTAAAACCTTTATGATGTGTTATGGATAACAGTTCGTTTTTGGCAGCTCGCATGTAAAAGTTCTTGTCGTTTGCATTTTTGGCTTCATTAAAGGTTAGGTAAGTTATGGCTAGTTGATAATCATTTGCTTTAAGTTTTTTGGTTTCTGAATGGTGAATGAAACTTGTTGGTTTACATCTCTTATTGCTCTCCGGTATTTTGAATTGCTGCTCCTTTTCCCCAGACTTTTCAATAGCATTAAGAGACCTATCTTGACCCTGCAACCATGTATCTTGATTGTTTGTCTCGAGTGTTCTATTTTCTTTTGTACGTTCATGTATAATTTCTTTGGGTAATGTTTTGTGTGTTTCCGTGACGTTGTACATATTTTTAATAGTGTTAGATTTGGTTGTGAATTGTTTCGCATAGTATTAGGTGAATATTACATATCATTCTTGGTAGATTTTTATTTGGGGGATGTGTATTAGGATTGGTTTCGACTGTGTGTGGCATGTGATAAATGTTTAAATGTTTGGGAGTTATTATGTTTTAAAGTGGAGGGGTAGGGTATATGACGCTGTGCATTTTATTTGTGGTCGAAGGTTGTATTTTATATTATGTCTCAAAGATTTAGATGAATTACCTTTAACTGTTTTACTGTCATTTTCGGTTTTCATCTGCCAGCCTATCGTCTGTGTTTTTTTATACAACTTGCTTGATATCTTGCTTAATTATCTTGGCTTGTTTATGTTTTTGTAGTGTTTGTGTTGTTAAGTTTTTAAATAGGAATAGTCTCGTAGTATGGTGTATTTGTAATGTCGTTTGGTATTTCAAGGTTTATTGAAGGTATAATTATATTGTTTTTAATGTTTTCCACTTCTTCTTTCTGTTGTGTTGAGGATATATTGTCGTGTAACCTCCCTATATGTATTATTTGCTCATTGTGATACGTTTTTTTGAATAAGGTGGTGTTTCTTCTGTATTAGTCATCTCGTGGATAGTACTTATAAATTGGTTCTCATGGATAGTGGGGCTGTAGGGAAAGTTGTTTACGAAGTAGGTAGGTCACCCGATCTAAGTATCTGGTTTGTATATTTGTTTAGTACTATGTATTCGTCGCCAGTAGAGTCCTCAGGTTTTCAGAGTAATGCACCTTCAAAATCCGATTTTCTTTTGTATTTATTGTAATGAACAATGACTTTACAACCAAGTGGAGCCATAAGACCTTAAACCTCTGTATTTTAATCAATTAATTTCATTGGTTATTGTCTTTTCTTTGCTTTTCGGGAGATTATTATTTATAAATTCAGCGGCACGCATTTCTTCACTCCAATATTCAGGTGGCAGTTTAACTTGTTTCAGAAAATGAATCGAGTTAGGTTGATAAGAGTTTAAAAAAAATGGTTTTCTCACTTAGCATGTACTGGGGTGTAGCTTTGGGCACTGTGCTAATAGGTACGCCTTTACTGATTTATTTTTTAATCCTTCGTCTAAAAAATCAGTCCCTTTATCTGATCTAATTTGTTCAATTAATGCAGTTAGTGTAGTTTTACCGGTTTTTAAATGTCTAATATATTTATTATGGTTTTTTAGCCATCTAATTAAGTTCTCTTTTATGACATCTTTGTTTTTGTTTAATTTTATAGTAATGTGCTTAGATCGTGGTCTGTTCCAACAATAACGTATTTGTAGCCTTCGTACGAATATGCGTCCCATCCTAATGTGTCTATGCTTGGTAGTGACCAGGTTTTTCTATTAGTATGTGTAGTGCTAAGTTTACTTGTTTTTCTTTTTTACATTTTGCATTTCATGCATATTTCTCCTTGTTCGTTTTTAAAAGGTTTTGTATGTTAGGGGAGAATAGTTTTAGTTTATTATAAATTATATGTCCGTATATTAAGTGCTCAATTAATAGGTTGGTAATGTTAGATGTTTTAAGCTCTACATATTTTTGTGAGTTTGCAAGTTTAACTTATAAAACCCTTTTTTTCAGCTTTATACAAAATCATGTTTTCTTTTGTTATAGTGGCTTGACTGTTGCTAAATGTTATAGTATATCCGTTTTATCTAATTTTTCAAAGGATATCAAGTTATTTTTGAATTTTGGCTGTATATGACCCTCCCTCGATCGAGTAAAATTAAAGAACCAGTGTTGTAAATCTAGGAAATAGTGACATTTTTTCGATTGAAAGCTATTATGCAACGTCTGCGGCCACTCCTTATTTGAAAGCTCGAGTATCGAAGTTTCTGATTCAATCGAGCACCAGGAATTATCATTTATAAATAAATATAAAGATCCAAAGGGAATTCTAGATTTCTGTTCTTCCTCTTTTTTTATATTTTGTATTTTCGTATTTTTATTCTTTATTTTAATTTTTAACTTTACTTATTTAATTTTTTTTATTTATTCTATTTATTTTTATTCTTCTGTTTTTATTTCTTTTTAATTTTAAGTTCTTATACCGTTCTTAGGAGCGGCTGTAAAGCAACTCAAGAGGCCAGTTATTCTATTTCTATTTATGATCTTAGTTATAGACGCTACAGTTTGGCTCTACGACTACACGCCAAGGGAGCTAGGATTAACGCTTTACAAAAGGTCAAAAAATAGTAGTGTTAATAAAATTATTTAGATTCCACCAGATAAATTTAATAAAATTATTTTTTAGATAGTCTGTTTCATACAGTATCAGTGCAAGTTATTTCCCGTGTTGATAGGATTGTTTTTACTTAGTGATTACTATATAAATGTAATACAAATTTTTTTTAATAAAAAAAGTTAGGTAGGTTTTTCTTATATTCATGGGCGTTTCTTAAAATTGTTTTGTGGCCATTATCTTTTATAAATGTCCGGTGTATATGTATAAATAACTTTATTGTCTACTTTTTGTCCTACGGCAGTTGTGGTTATAAAAAATTAGTTGTAAAAATTATTAGAATTATAAATACTTGAATTAATATATTTTGTTTAGTTAGATTTTTCGTGTTAATTATTATTTTGCCTATTACAAAAAAAAAAAAGAGATGCAGGTCCCCGATAAAAATTATACATGACAGTTATTGGTATTTACCACTCTCGACACGGTGGGGGTGTCCCTTTTGTTTGTACAAAGTTTCTAGTTTGGTTCCCGCTATATTTTTCACAAAACGTTGAAGTACACAACTGGTCAGCATTTTCTAAAATAACACGAAAGCTTCTTCCAATTCTTTCCGTTTTTTACAACAAAATAAAAATCTAATTTTTTTATAGCAATGAGATTTTTATGGATACCATATTAAAAGTTTTCAAGCACAAGAGGTAATGAAGTGTGTTTTTTGTTAAATTTTCGCAATCTGAAACATTGCTTGAGTCGCAAGTGTTGCAGTTTCATAAGATCCCACAAACAACCTTGAGCCCTTTTTCAGAGATTAAGTGTTGTGTAGTACTCGAACCTCAGTTTCCTTGAACAGTCTTACCAGTTTTCTAAAATCATTTTTAAAAGGTGTAATATTTGATTCCTCAGACTACATCTTTTGTATTAAAAGCTATGTTCTTTTACGAGAGGTTAGAAAAACGGTCTTGCTACTCACCTTTGTTGTTAGTATTAATAAGATTTTGCATCGCTTGCCCACTTACTCTCGTAGCAATCAAATACTTAACTGGGTATAAGCAAACACTCTTTGAAGCTGTAATTAGAAAAGTCCTCATAATGCTTCCTTTTTTAATTTGAACTGGACTATACCGGTTTGCTAGATTTCCTACCACGCCAAATAATGGATGCCCACCTTAGGGGACAGGAAATCATATTTACTATGTTCCGAGTTCTAATATGGTTAATGCATCTCAACGAAACGGGGTTGAGTCGTAGCTCATTGATTAAGAGCATTTGCAGGTGTAAACTCAAAGCTATGGACCCAGTTAGTCATTGGTAGTCGCGCATTTGGATTTTAATTCACTACGTTTTGACAAGTTGTTTATGTAAATGCGCCATTATTATAATATATATTTTCATATCCATTATCCTTCCAAACAAAAGTACAACTGCCCCAACTTAATTGAGGGCCACTGAATTACAAGTATTTGTAACTCTTTCGTAAACCATTAGCTTTAGTGACTTTTGTAATGATTAACGGTACTTTTGCAAATCCAATATCTAATCCCAGCTCATCTTTTTTGTACCGTCGCAGGTCTACAATTCTGCTTTTTTCTGTACTAGCCTAGTAACTGAGGAGCAAGTTTCATCCTTTATTATTTAACCGTAGATCCGGAGCCTTAAAGAAACTGATAAGAATATAGTACGATAATAATTACGCGCATGAGAGTTTTAGGGAAAAGTCACCTATTTTTTAAAAGATTTAGATTTGTTAAATTTCTTTCGTAGAGGTATACTAATAGAAAAGTATAATTTATTTCTGCTATTTCCTCCCTTTTAATTAGTAAGCATTCCTTTTTTTGTTTGTAGCTCTAGTAACGCTACCATGTTTAGCATGTGGCTAATTTTTAAAGATCAAACAAGTTTACTAAATTGTAATATTTCATTTGCTTCAATTTTACTCGTTGTATCTTCAAAACTACTATTTATTAAAAGCTGCCCTACAAAAATCGTATATAATATTAAAAATTTTCCCTAAGTCATTTTTTTATAAATGTGTATTTACTAGAATGCCCCTAGAACTGAGCAGTTATAGGTGTTTGGAATTTGTTTAGTTTTTGAGAGCATGGAACTTAAGGAGGACCTAGTTGGGGGGCTTAATAGTTTCATGATACTTCAGTCACTAAATAAGAGAGCTAAGCATAAACAAAAGATATGGCACACTCCTGGATGAGCCACTTAAAAGATAAGCGACTCGGCGAGGTGTGGTTGCCATGTTCTCATAACTCTGCCACCGATCGATATTCTTTTCTTTCCGAATACCTTTGTGAAAGTATTCTATCACTTTTTTCAAAACGCTGGGACCGATGTCAAAACAAAACCCTATACGAGCAACTTTTGCTTGGAATTCGCGCGGTGGATCTTCGGCTCTTTACAGATAAAAAGTTCTTTTCTTTTTACTAAACAATTTAAACTTTATGTTCTTACATATTTATTAACTTTCGCTCAGTAATGTTACTTGGACTTGTCACGGCTTTGTAAACCAAAAACTTGAAAAAGTAATATGTCAAGTTGCTTGTTTTCTTATTGGTTCTTATTGTTTACAATAGAAACTGCTTTTTTTTAACTTACTACTTTTTAGATCACCCTACTGAGTTTGTTCTCATACTTATCAAGCAAGGATGGTTGTCCTTAACAAGTATTACCTCTTTTACTTCCATTTTTCTTATTTTATAACGTACTTTTATATTAAAGGAAGGCATTGGGAAGTTAACTGGCTTCAAGTAAATAAGTTAATAGCAAAGTTTGACAAAAGCAAATCTCAATCTTCTGGTATCTTTGGCCTTATTAAGAATTTTACCCCCTTTTTTAAATTCTTAAAGCCTAGAGTTTTTTTAAAGATTTATTAGCTAATTTTGTTTTTTATGTTTTAATCAAAGCTGGGGCTTATTATCTGTAAAAGCTTTGATTTTCTAGTTTATTTTTATTTATTAAAAAACTGCAATTGTACTTATACAGCCTTATTTAACAAAATATTAATAAGGGTATACCTTTCTTTCAGTTAAATTAACCTTATATATTTGTACTTGTTTACTAATATCTGAGAATATATTTCCTAACAAATCAATTTAATTTGGAAAAAATGTTAAGCACCCAAGTCAAAAGCATGTAATTCTTACAGAGCTAAGTACACTGCATAACTAAATCAACAGCGCTGAGCGTCTAGTTGATTTTTGTTGTATACATTATGTTTGTACAAAAGTTTTTTTAATCTTTAATTCTAAACAGTTATAATCTAAAATTAAAAGATTACTTTATCGAAGAGGTAAATTCTCCCTCGCTTACTATTCGTCATAAGCTCTCAACCGATCTTTTCTTATCCGAGCTTGCTGGAAGTGTCGCTTTTGTCTCTGAAGAAGAAAACTATCGGTTCGGATTCCGTTACCATTGCAGAGACTTGCTTATATACAATTCCTGGTATATTTTTTTAAGACGATTTGTACATATATTATTAGAAACTGTACTCGTGTATAGAGCATCTTTATTCTAAGAAAAGTTTTTATTGCATACGAGCGTTGATTCACTGTTGTTTCAGTGTTAACGTTATAGATTATTTGATGGTTCGAATTGGAAGATTCAAAATTTAGCAAAATTTAATATTTATAGGTGACTTTACCGTTAAGTTATTGATTCTAGTTAGCTTTTCGTTGTTGTTATAAGAAAGTCTTTTAATCTAGTTATTTGGAGTTTTTTTATGTAAGTTAAGAGAGCCACTCTAATCCATGTAAAGGATCAACTTTGTAACTTTACTTCTTTTTACTCTTTAAGATTTTAAGGTGACTTTTTTATGGTTGATCCTTTTTTTTTTTGGGTTTTATATATAAATTTTCGGGGTATTTTTTTTTCTTTACATATATTTCGGGCTTACAATTACCATATACTCTCTCCCCCATTTTTTTTTAAGCTTTTTTTCTACAAGGTGTTGTTGTTACCCTTTTCTTACAGGGTACATATATTTATAAAGTATATTAAAATACTATTTTGATTACTACTTTTACAATTATGGATAGGTACCAAACGAACACATCGCTTCCCAGCGAGCTTCCTAAGAATCTTTTAAATTTGATCTCTTCGCTTCCTGCACAAAGTTTTTTCTGCATAAAATATTTAAAAGTTTAACACTAAAATAGTTATTTTCTGGCTTTTAACTTTTTTTTTGTCTTTTTAAATAAATTTGCTTTTTATAGTTAAAAGTTTTTATATACTAGTTGTTAACTTATTTTAATCTTTCCTTGTCTGATTACTCAACCCATCTGTAACTTCAAGAGCCAAAAAACGTCTTGCTGTGGCTGAATGCGCACTGCACACCAACAGCACGTCTAATAGTCGCTTCATATAATTACTTTGTGCCGAATGCCTACAGGTCCCTTTACGATCTTCACAGAAAATCTTTAAGTTTTGTATTGCACGACTTTTTGCAATCGGACTCTATAAAAAACTTGGACAAAATAAAAATAAGAGGAATAATAAGTTCCGATTTTGTCGATGAAAAGTTTGTTAACGCAGTAATAAGTCTAAATTTTTAAAGAAATAAATCTGAATTTTTATAAAACTTGCATATGAATTAATGTTGCATTCTTGAAAAATTGCTCAAATTAGTTCTAAGAGCGCTATGATAATTATCCTTTTCTCCGGGTAGCATTCACAAAAATATACATAGCAAAGGCTTCTATAAATCATAAGTTAATTCAATAAATTAAGTTACTTGGTTTGTATTTATTATAGCTTATAAAAATATTATTTAATTGTAGCGTTACTTAACAGTTTTAAATGATGTAAACGATATAAAGCTTTAAATTCTTTGAACACTATGATAAAAACTAGTAGTATCTGGAGTCACTTCGAAAAACTTGGTCTATATAGTAACAAAGCAAGTAAAGAGGGAAAAGGGACATAATATCTTTATAATATTTAAATCATAAAACATAATTTAACGAAAGAGTTAGCAAAAAAGAGCCTTTAACTTTATGACCGCTTAGGTACGTAGGAATTTAAATACAAAGTAGAATTGTGAACTATAAACGACTACTGATGGAACATCGCAAGTTTTAATTGTAGAATACAGCATAAATAGAATATAAAATATGATAACTGTTAATAATATTTAGTAGGAAAATGAAAAAAAAATTCTAATGGCAGCAGCCTACGACTCTAGCTCTTAAGCCCTTAATATATGAAAGCAATACTGATTAAGGCCTTCAAAAACTTTGAATTGAAAATATTTTATAGCTATAACACTATTTAATTGAAGTTTTATAATATATATGTTGAACTAAGTCTGCAGGAAATAAATAAAAAGGTATAATACAAATAAAAATGAAAGTAACTAGACGCTATAAACTCCCTTTCTTCTATAAAAATTTATTAATTTTTTTTTTAACTCATTTTCACTCAGTAAAGACCGTTGTAGTTCTCTTCGCTTCCTATTCATATTCCGTAACCATCTACGATAATCAGATAAATCTTCAATTTTTTCGCCATAGTAGTCATCTTCAAACTTCATCCCTTCCTTAACCCTATATTTTGCTATTCTCTCTATAAAATCATTTTCCTTCTAAATTACATAGAAAGAGTCAATGATAATATATATGAAGTAACTCTAATAAATGAAATACAACCAATTTAAGCCGTTCGGCAAGTAGTGGATTTCTGAACTTCCATACATATTGAAAAGTTAGACCAGCAATTATATAACTAAACACTCCAGCCCCAAGCGCGCCGATGGCAGTAATAGTTATCGGATCGAAGTAACCACTATATGATAAAAATAGAAGATTGGTATACAACAACAAAAAAAAATACTGACAATATGTATTTGATCTCCTCTTCAGGAGTTGAAAGTGTTTCGAAAACGTGAGCATTAGCCACAGACACAGCGGCAGACACAGCAATAAAGACAGGTACTTTAAAAGCGAGAGATTTGGTTTTTAATTTAGATTTTTGCTTCTATAGGTTTAATAGTAGATTTAAAAAGAGAAGTTGTACATAATAAACAATATGCCAACTCTATATTCAGAAAAAGATAAAGGAGTTTCCGAATAATAACACAAGCGCTCAGTTTTTAAGCGGCGAACAGCAAAAATTTTACTGTTTTAATATGATAAAAAAAAAATAGGTATAATTATTCGATAGATAATATAATAATAGAATATTAAAAAGAAAAAGTTAAGTAATGCTTAGGTCTGCACTTGTGAGTAAACAAGTTTGAAAAAGAACGAAATATAGTATGACGAGAATTAATTATTAATCTTAAGGTAAACATTGTAAGGTTTTTAAAAATATAGTAGTTCGTAGCTTTAAAAGTAACTAGGGAAACCACATGCCTTTTGGTCTTAGTAAAACCGTGTAAGGTTACGAATTATCGATTAAAATGGCGTAAGGTAGGTTTAATATTGTTATTTAATTGAGTGTTACTATACAATTATTCTATATAATTGTAGTTTTATATAATATCTTTTACTATAGCTTTTTTACAGTTTAGTACTATTACTTCTGTACATACTGTTAGCGTAAATGTCATAAAGATTATTTGTCTTCCAAAAACTTGAAGTATGATAGTAAGAGGAAATGCAAATTAAAAAGAAACTAGAAAAGTTTATTCCTTCTGCTTTTCAGCATTTCTGCTATTTGCGTATAACGATATATCTTATAACTCAGGAAACTTAATATAAAATTATAATATCTCACTTTTAGGCACTTACAAAAACGTATTTATAGAATTTGTATACATAAATCATAGACTAATTGCTTCTGGGAGGTACCTTGGATTAATTAGTGGTTATTATAGTCATCAATATTACCGTCGTTCAAATGTTGCTCCCAATACCGTTAACTTCCTTATTTTCACTATTACTGCTATTTGCGACCACTATCCTTTATGGGGGGTGCGCCCCTGAGCGTACCGGAAAGACAGCTTGCACTAACTAGGAAGTTGATGTAAGAGGACACGCATGATTTCTTCAATATAGTAATTCAGTTTTGCATGCGTACTTTAAAATCTTAGCTTCTTCCGAATAAGGAAGTCTAGACGTATTTACGTTATGTGATAGCCCTCCTGCCAAAGCAATTTTAAACCTCTACTAAATCCTTCTTAACTTCTTATGTAGCAGGCGTTATGGTATAATCCTAAGGAATTATGCATGCAAAATTAGTGATTAACACTGAAATAAGTACCAATGTAAAAATTATTATCAGTGTTAAAAAAATTATTTAATTACTTAAAGGTACATACTTTTCTTATAAGGTTCCAGCCTTATTTTATTGAAATTTGAGATGAATTTTACATAACCATTTAAGAAGAAAGGGGTGTGTTTTAGGATTTACTTTAAGCCAAGATTTCTTGTCCCCTTAAGGCGGGGGTCCGCTTCTTGGCATGTTGGAATTTTAAGTTTGGACCCTTAGATTTTGAAAAACTCAATAAAAACGCATGTACAAAGAACTAACCTTATGGTGGCAAACTATAATATTTTTTTAACTAATACAATTAATTAAGTCCTGTATAAAATATAAAAAATACTAACCATAATTAAGGATCTTTGTACCTTTATGCCGTTTTGTCCCCTTTGCTTATTTTGGAACTTTACATCTAACATTTTCAGTCTACATTGTTCCCTTGTAAAGGTACTGTTGACAATGCGATCTATAGAAGATCTTAGCAAGACAAATTGCGTTAAAAGTATGCAGGCATACTTAGATTTCCTTAAACTTCGTTAATATTCAAAAAACGGCGACAAGAGCTTACTGTTCTCGTGTACAAGAAAACATTGCATGGTAAGCAAATTGCTACTATTTTTAAAACGATCCCTTTTAGTGCTTATAGGCCAAGTAAGAGTAAATCATTACCTTAAGTTGGGACGCTTACCTGGACTAACTTTACTAAAAACGTGGGATTACTAACAATGTTCTTCCCTACCAAGCCAAAAAAGCAGATCAACTTTATTAACAAGCTGCTTTAATACTCACATATATGTCTTCCTCTTGCATCTATTATTCTGAGGCACGAAGATTCGTTACAAATATATAAAATAATTTTTACGCCTCGTGGTTCATAAGAAACAAATGCTTTTGCACGAGACAAAAAATTAAATTTATTAAGGAACTGATTAAAAAGATTTTTGTACGTTAGTGGAAATATACAGAATCGGATACAGTATCAGCGCTGAGGATGTGCCTACCGAAGTATCGATGTCCTTCCCTTCGGCAAACACAGGGTGAGCCCTTACTACAGCCAATACTCATCTTAAAACAGAAGGAAATGCACCAAATGCTACTGCACCATCTGATTCACCCGGCGAAACTACTATATCACCTGAAAGTTCAACTCCAAGTTCAGTTGAGGGCCCAAAATGCAGAAGTAGCCTCGCGCCGAGCTGGTGAGCTAGTGTACACGAGTCTTGATAACGAACAATTAAAAACAAAATGTGCTTTATATTCAGTGCCTTTTAATATTTTTTTGAAACTTTCTATTGACAAAGAAGCTATGGCCTGCACGTCTATAAGAGAAGGATATAGTGGATATAAATGTTGAAAAAGCGGCCACCACTGTTTAATTCGAAGAAAATTTATTAAATATAGGCCTTAACGACTAACAAAATAATCGCAAAACCTTTTTAATAAAGTTTAACTTTTCAGAACCGACTTAGGTCGGCAGTTATTTATATGAAAAGTGTAAGTAATTTTATAAAGTTGCAATATAAAATGCTGCACTCAAGGCTAAACAAGTTTTATCAGTTACGTTAACTTATAAGAGACAATATACGTCCAAATACATTTTCGCTAATAACTCGTTTCCTGAGTAAATATATATTCGTGAGATATTATAAGCGGCCTTCTTTCCAAGTTCATCAACAAGCTATATTAATTTTTTCAAAACAGCAAAATGTTGCGCCGGGTGCCGTTATTTAATACCTTATTGTCCAATGACGTAAGGCAACGGTCGTAGTATATAAGCGCTATATGCAGCAAACCTATAAAAAATTTAGTAGAGGATAAGATTTGAATAATAAACCAGTCACCGATTTGGTGGTAAGCCCGGCCAAGGTTGTAGCTGGCCTCTCGGCAACCACCAAGTGCGTTATAATAGTTGTATAAATTAGCAAAAGCCTTGGATGATTCTATGTGAGCAGCACGGCTAAAAAATGTATGGATATGAATAGAAACTGAATGCAGGCATTTCTTCTTTTTTAGGCAAGTCCTTTTCATGGCGTGCGCTAAGTAAGCGATTCCCAAATAAAGAAAGAGCAGAGGGTTGGCGGGTTGTAGGACACGGGCATGATGGTACTCGCCTTCGATCAAATATAACAGTTACCACAAAAAATAACTTGTCAATTTAGTTATTTAGCAACCAATGGCGAGAATATACGACGTTGACGACTGGTGCATGTAGTGGTGGCCGCTTAAAACAGCCAGCGTAAAGTTATTCTTATGTCTCGCTCGAAGACGGCAAACCATTTTTTTTGCACGAGAGTAGTTTCGAGTGCTTGAACAGAAACTTTGAAAACCAAGGAACAAGCAACAGCGGAAAAGATAAAAAGGTACAGAAGCAACATATAATGCATGAATTCTAAAAGTCCGGGAGTGTTTAAGTTGTGAAACAAAAGTTTCTTGGCAGTTAAATACGCCCCTTTGTAGTTTCTACTTTTTACATTAAACCCTCGTAATATGTTAACCTACAATAACAACTCTTATAATAATATAACTGTGGATATCAATACAAAGAGCGAGCAAGAGGATAGACTTTTTCTGCTCAACAAAATTTTTAAGTTTGCCACTCAAATATTCCAAACAGTAAAAAGTTTTCTCTGTGGTTTCATACTTCTCCAGGTATATCAAAACCCGTAAAGTCTAGATAAATTTTAAGATTCCAAAAAGGACAAGTCTGCAGAGTTCACCAACGTTTGTTATCAGCACAAGCCATTCGTCAAAAAGCTTTGAGTAGCCATACCGCCATAAAAATGACTCATTATTCTGTTAGTTAGAGGAAATGCGTAGTTGGAGTAAAGCTCATGAAAAGAAATCTACTAAAACCTCTGCGGTTAGTCTGTCATCAAGTCTAGCATGATGGGAAAGTCTTATAATAACAGGAAGAGCGATATTCAGGAAACCCTTTATAGTAACAGAAGAAAAAGCACTTCATCTGTCAAAACTTTGTAGTTTACTGAGAAGTCTCCCTCCGACAAAAAAAGTGAGCAACGAGATAGCAAAACTTGGGAATCAACATCAACGTCAGAAAAACCCCTTGTAGGACGCGGGAGGCATTCTCACGAGATGGTGTTAGCGTAACTAAAAAGGATGAGCTGTATAGGAAAGAAAAACCTCCCCTGACAACAGTTAAACTCTTTTCTGCTAACCCGAGATCTCCGTAGACAGTCGACAAAAGAAGTCGGGTGTTCAGTTGATCCTTATGATCAGCAAATTCTGAAAACTTCAGTACTATGAAGCAAACTTATTGGTAAACGGCTGTGATGGCACGAATAAAGCAATAACCCGTTTCCAGAGACAATACGCATTCTTCCAGCAACCCCAGGGACTGCTCGCACTTACCACGCAGATACCACACGTTGGCCTAAATTATATGGTACCACCCCTGTATGCGCCATGTGCGGTACATTGAATACATTTACTTCTACGCTGCCCATTATAACGTCGCAGAGGTAAAGAGCCTTGGCATACTCCCCAACGGCCACGTAAGCCTCAATAATCTCAACATAAAAGTCCGAGACCTCCTCAATCGCATGACTTTCCAAGCAACGCAAGAATTTCTAATTACCCATAATTTTGCCCCGTGACATTATCAATATTTCTAATATATAAGCAAACTCACGGCAGCTTCCTCAAAGCTAAACAAGTAAACCAGACAGAGGGCGATCTTCACACTTAATCATTAAAGATAGCCCGTCGACTTGAAAGAAAGAAGAAAAATTTAAAAAAACAAGTACGTCACTGAAAGTGGGCGCTCACATTCTAAAAAGGACTTATTGCAAAGCAGTTTAGCTCTTTCGTACTGTCCGTTATACATCAGCAACTTAAAAAAAGAATCAGATTTATATAATAAATTAATAAGTTGCTGACAAAAAAATGTTTCATAACTGATAAAATTAAAAAAAAACCTTATAGAGAAGATCAAATGTGGGTATGTGCAGAGGGTTATGTCCTAAAGCGTCGTTTAATAACTCAATGGCCTCTTTGGTCTGATTCAACTGTGAATGGTAAATCTAGACCAGTCAGTCAATAAAATCACTTAACTTAAATTTAATGGTAGACGGTGAAATAAACCGTGGCAAGCTCATATACTACTTGGAGGTCGTGCTCTTTCCCAGGGAGTTTCAGTATAGTAAGCAGACCTTCAGCAGCCTCCATAAATCAATATGAATAACGTGCAAATAGAAATTTAAGAAAAATAAAACTCTTCTATAATGGCCTAAAGCAGCGTAAACCATCGAGCGGTCCCAGAGATCGTCCGCATCTTCGGGACAAAGTTGTAAAGAACGCGTGAAACAGTAGATCGCTTTATCGAAGAGATTCAACGTTCTACTCAAAAGCGTCAAAAAGAATAGTATATAGAAAAATCGTCAGGCAACCTAAACAGATCTCCTAACTTTTTCCACTTGTTACGATTACTGCCTCTGGACAACTGCGCCTCTAACAAAGCAGCGGTTGCTTGGCTCAGATAGTCTCCTAGATCCTGTAGGGAGTTTAAAAAGTTGCAATAAAATTAGCAGCTATGATTTCAGAGAAAAGCAAACGAAACAGAGAAGTAAAAGATCGTAGTAGAGAGAAAAGTGTTTTCTTACCTCATAAATCAAAGCAAGTAGGCTATAAGTTTGGGCACAATGGGGCACGCTTCTTGCAACTTTCTTGCAAAGTGAAATGGCCTTTCAATAAGTGAGAAATATTACTTTGAAATTTAATGGCAGTTAGTAACCTCTTGGTAATTTTGTGACATATACTGCAAGTTGGCCTCCCCCAATAGTTTTTGATCCTTTTCTCTTAACGCAGATAATTTTTTTCTCTTAGAAGAAAAGTACAAAAAAAACTCAAGTGAAAAAAATTAAAAGATAAGGTTTAGTTAAACTCTACGTAGTACAATTGGAATAAAAACAATATTTTTTTACGCTAAAATTAAAATATATAAAAAAAACTACCCCTCTTCTTTTATTATAACTTGACTGAGCAATCCCCGACAGTTCTATGATTAAATTTTCTATCTCCTCGTCAGGAAGGCAATCCACCTCTCTATTAAAGCTGAAAGTAAAGAAACCTTAAAAAAAAGTAGAAAATGCATTTGTTACAAGTAAAAGTCCTGCGTACGACGATCTTCAGGCTACAAAAGATAAAAAAGTGAAAAGTTTAAATTTGAATCTCACAAACAAGAACATAAAAGATCATACGAGCTCATCGAAGTTTAGAGGCATTAGAAAGTTTAGAAGTACATAACTAATTGGCGTTAGCGTAAAACAAAGGCCAGAGAAAATACATTAATCTTGCCAAGAAATAATTTTATCTATCCTTTCCACGCCCAGCCCTATTAACAACATTAAGCTTTTAACTTCTTCCCCTTATTCGGTGTATGGACATCCTCCATGGACATCTTGAGAAACTGGGCGGTACTCCCGCTTTTAGTCTTGGATGGCGGACAATTGTTGAAACCGCCATTCCTGGAGACACCGACGAGCATTCACCCCCCCCGGACTGCGTAAGGAGCCTAGTTTCTTCTGTATTTTTCACCTTGATGTTAAACAAATTTCTCTTTATATAAATTTACATAACATGTTACTGCTGTAAAGTGGTTGTAAGTAAGTAATTAGCTTTAAATAATTTTATATGGGCATTAACGCTTTTCGCAGAAATACTCTAATCGAGCATTTCCCAGTTACAACTGATAGTCCTTTTTTTTACGGATTATATGATTAAATATCTTCATTTAAATTTTACTTGCTCAAAGAAGCCATTTTAAAGAGTGTAAAGCTTTAAAAATTTTGTGTAGGTAAACAAGTGTTCTGCTGCTGTGAGGTAAAAACGCACAGGGGTACCCCAAATATTTTTTGGCTAGACTAAATGTTTGGTTCTGCTATTTCATTATAATATGAATACTTATCTCTGCTTTATTTCAACCCTTATAATCTTAAACAGGTAAAATTACCTTTTTAAGATCTTGGTTAAAAGTATATTTGTTAATATTAACAATAAAAATAAAAAATAAAACATATACTTTTTAAAGCACTATTACAAAGAAACCACTTCACTAACTTATCTTTCCTTCAGAAAAGGTTTCTCCTTATTAATAATATAATCAACTACAAAATTATCCACCCCACATATTTTAGTAAAATTAATACAAACCTTGACATTGTGATATAGTAGGTCATTAAATATTAATTCTCTTTCATACCTCTAAACTGAACCGCAGGCTTTTCAAACTCTCGAATGCTAAAAGGGTTTCGTAAAATATTGCGGCTTAAGGGGTTACAGGGGCGCTGTTACTTTTTTTTTATTTTAAAATTATTTGAAATATTGTGGATAAAGTTATGGCTTCACGTAAAATTTTATTGTTGCCATCGAGTTTTTTGTTTTCACGCGTTAAACTTTTGGATATTGCTGGAATAAGGTTGTTAAGCTACCAAAGCTCTTCCCTATCCCAGGGAATAAAAAAATCATACGCAGAGGACACCGCTGGTTTTTATAATAACTTTATAAGAATTTTGATCCTGCTTACTTCTCACTTTAATTTTTTCTTGATGAAGTAGCTGGCTCTCCTATTTTTAAACTTGAAGAAAGTTTAAAACTTGATGTAACAAAAATTCGGTTTCTTTGAAGATAGTGCCTTGTATTATTCCATTTAGGCTGGTCAAACTGGATTTATTAAAGGGACTTTACCTGGTGAAAATTCTTCCAGTACGATCGTTAAAAGGAAAGTTTTCATATATGATCCAGAAAAACATGGAAGTTTTTTTTCAGACGACTTTTCTGGGTTTTCTCTTGATACCATCTCCTCATTTCAGCTTTTTAACTAGTTTTTTTGTACAAAGAAATCTTGCCTTTAGACCACCTGAATGCTTATGGCTACCGGCTATCGAGATTATCGAAAAGATATATAACGAGTATAGTAACGATCCTGATAAAAATTGTCCTAAAAACTTAGCCTTTAAATATGGCATGGGTGTGTATACATTACTTAAGCGGATAGTATTATTTCTGTCATCGGTATTTAATAAAATTGTAAACCAATGTGACCTTTTTTAAAGGTGAAAATACTGTAAGAAGCTTTATCAAAGCTGGTAAAGAAGCAATTACGGACGTGGAGGTTTCCTTTTAAAAGCTAACCTGCCTTTTTTTTTTTTTTTTGTTGCTTGCTATCGTCAAAGGGTTTTTACTGCCTTATTTATTTTTTATATTTCCTATATCCTTTATAATTTATGAAGAGTTACTATATTGTTATCTTGCAGTGGATCCTTAATCATAATAATAATTAGCAATAGGGAACCCTTTTTTTTTAAAAATTTTTACGAAGTATAAAAAGACTTTTAATTTATATTAGACATATTTTTATTAAACCAAGACTTTTAAAATCTTGTTGGCTGTTATTTTATCAATTATCCCTAATAATTGATATTTATATGAAAAAATTTTGGATGGTTTTGTAGCTTCGGAGAAAAGTAATTGTTATATCCTTTTAATTATGTAATGGTAAGTCCCCTTGCCTGGCCACTTTCTACCTTTAAAACACTTCCAGTTTTTAGGTCCTTTAGCGAATTTTTTTAGTAGCTCCTCTAAAATTGTAATTTCTAGGAAAAAGATATTGTTTTAAAAAAAGTGAGTGTCGAGAAGAGGAAAATTTGTTACAAAAAACTTTAAATTTCCCTTTCCCCTCTGTTTTTGTTTTATCCATTCTGTTGCTATAGTTTCGGTTAGCTTTCGAGGAACTCCCTCAGTCATTACAAGAGGAACTGGAAGAAGCTGCCTCTTCTTATAAGGCCTCCTTTTCAGTGCATTACGTTGAGAATCTTCGCGGTTATAAGAGACCTCGTAAGTAACTTAAATTTTAATATTGATATTTTAAGATTATTTAAAAAAGCTTTGGAAAGCCAAAACGAGTTTTTTAGTAACGGAAACTACATCGCAAGTAAGCCGGTTTACTGAAATACTCTTCGCTATATTACTTTTTAACTTTGAGTTTCCTAGCGGAACCTTTGTTTGTTCAAGTGGGAAAAAATGTCCCTGCATTTATTATTTCCGAGGAAGAAAGTGTGGAGAAGCTCAATAAAGAGATAGCTAAAGAAAAAATACCGCCTGTAAGAAATAAACTCGATGAAGAGCTCAAGCATGTTGTGTTTGGACCAGGCTCAAATAAGAAGGTTAGGGAGCTCAATATATACATGATTTCTATTATATTCATTTTGTCACTCTTTTATAGTCCTCCCAGCGGACTCTTTCCAAGGGTCCCATGCGCCTTCTGTTTATGGACACCAGCAAGCCGACCCGAGAGGTACAGATCCATCGCCCTTTAAATAGTATAGGATCCTAAGATCCTCTGTTATTTACATATACGGGGAGTTCATAGTTGAAATCATTTCTTCTAATTCTGCCAGTTTTACTGCCTTTTTCTTTCCTATTTTAACTTATTATCAATATTAATTTTTTGGCTCTTGTAGGAAAAGAGAAAGTCCATTAAGGCTTATGTTGCTGATAGTAAAACATTACGTAGCGCAACTGAACACGAGGAGGAATACTTTGCTAGTCGCTTTCTGCACTGCAATAGATCGAGACTTTTATTTTAAGGCTTTTAGTCTGGTATGTAACCACGCTGTATACCCTTTATAAATGAATGTCTTCACAGTCTTCATTTGAGTGAGACGCAAAGGTAGGCATTATAGACATAAATATAATATTTAAAAAACTGCTGAGGCGTGTTGTAAGGAAAACGAGCGGTGCCATTGCGATGGTTTAAAAAACTAATCTTTTTTATTAATACTCAAGTTGAATTGGTGAACGCACTCGCACTCAAACTCTGTAATATTCTTCACTTTCGACGTATCCTTAATAAGAAAGAATCGACATAGAGGGAGCGCTGTTAACTTCCCATAAGATGGCCTCACAGTTGAAGTCAAACTGGCCCATATAAGAAAAAATATAAAACCGAAGAACATGCCGGATAAGACCTGCTCGAGTGTGTGATAACGAAGATAAACTCTATTGATTTGTAAATGTCTTTTATAATTAAAAACTTAACAAAATATCAGATAACCTTGAAGTAATACAAAGCACTGAGGGAGCCCATATTACCGCTATGTGCAAGATCTTCCATCCTTTTAGTGTTTCACACCTTTCGTGGTTAGTTATAACACTTAGAAGTTATATATAAAGATAAAAGGTGAATACACTGTTAGAAGGATTCTTTTATAACTTATAAGCCACAGACACCGAAAATTTTTTATTTAACTAAGCTAAGGATATTCTATAACCATTGATACTTTACAAGTACAATACTTAGGCACGTATTAGCATAAAAACATTAAACTAAAATATATAAATCTAAGAAAATAGTAATTTATTAAGCACACTGACTTTTGCTGGTATTAGTTATAAAGAAGATTTTAAACGAAAGAAACCTTGGCCTAACAGAAAAAGAGTTTATAGTTTTGTCGTTAAAAAATAATGGATTAACAGAAAAGTCAATACTTCATAACCAAAAACCAAGAGAGGTAAAACGCGAAGAAGGAGACGAACTGTGCGTGATTAGAAGGCATGCCAGCCTTGCTGTACACGCCTCTATGGTGATATCCTAAATAATAAATTAACAGGTTATAGGACTGCTTAATATATATTTACAATTATACCCGTAAACGTTGGTCTTGCTTGGTTATAAACAGTTTTTAGGATAAAATTGAGGAGTTCATTTAAAATAACGCCCGTAAAAAAAAAAATCTGGCAAGGCAACAATCAATATACATTTAATTAAAAATTACAAATAATGCAGTAGAGCTGAGTAAGTTATAATCAACCATAAATAAACAGACAAAAACGATTTAAGTACTGTTTGCAGGTCTCTTCTGATAAAGATAACAGTGGCCATCGAACTAATTAGAAATAAAGGGAGAAGAGAAGTTAAGGCCAATGTTTTCCCTAACAAAAACGATATAATTTTATCAATGATTGTAGCTCGATTAGTATATATATAAAAACCATAAAAATCACCCTTCACATACTCCACTAAAGTCAAAGAGAGCGCTTCCAAGTTATGACTAAGTTTATAAATGATATATAATAATAATAACTTTAAATAGACTGGTTAAAGGCGAAAAAATACAGTAGAATAAGTGGTAAGATGTTAAAATAATAAGCGACTGTAGAAAATATCAACTCTTGTTTTCAATGAGTAGGGCCGAAAAATTTTACTAGAAAATATAAAGCGTTATATAAACAAGAAAAGCACTTATTATCCATATGGACTAATATATTAACTTGATAGTCATGGAAAGCTCAAAAACTATTATACGTAAAAATAAATGTGAAAGAGCACAGAAAAATAATTTAAAGCTAACATGATCCGCATAAAATTTTTTTATGATATTTGACCCCAAGTTGAACACTCTCATTTCACAGGTATGTTAAAAAACGGGATAGGTCTGCGCGCTTATTAACTAAAAGTGGAAAGCAATGGTAGAAAATTTTCTTTAAAATAGAACACTTGTGTTTAATGCCTTTAAAAACCATGTAAACGCAAAATATTTTGCTTGTATCTATTTTTTTTAAACTTCTTATATAAAGTTTAAAGAGTGTTTTCATAAAACAGTATACGCTATCTCTTAGACTGCGCAAGCAGGATAAATTTAGTTTGGCAGAGTATGTGTTAAAAAATATTAAAAAAATGGTGGCTTTTCTTTAAATATTAAAGTAAATTTAATAATGTTCTAATAATTAGAGATAGATTATTTTTTTCTAGTGCTTTATTGGTCTAGTAATTTTTAGGTTTTTTAAATTTAGGACGGTTTTAATTATAGGAAAATATATATATAAAGCCAAGTCCAAATGAAGTAAAAAAAAATTAACTTTTAACTTAACTCTAAGACTATAGAATGTGTGTTTATGCCGTCAAGTGCAAAGAACTCAATGTTCTAGATAAATTTTTTTAAAAAATGACAGAACACCTCTGGAGGGATTTAAATATATATATAATAAAACCCTGTTGCAGTTGCTCGGTGTGTTGAGTACAGACTTTTATGTCCAATCAAATTTGTAAACGACCATGGCTCGTGGTATAATCAGCGCTATCGGAGACTTTCTTTATATATTAAATTGACCAGCCAGAACGCGCAGGAGCATTAGTTCGCGTACTTCTCGAGCGTTCTTCCATTCAACTTCTAGATTCAAAAGCTCAAATATTGAGTTTAAAACTGACGTACTACGGCCAGCTTATCTAAATGTGTACCCTTTCAATAGATTAATTGCTCCCAGTCGGAGAACTTTTTTATTTGGGTTTTTTAGTAATACCGATACCTTTATATATGAGAGTAGTACACCGCCTAATTGTGTTGTAGCTAACTCTTAAAAATCAGGTGCTCATACTTCGTGTTTGTTGGTTAGGCACCACGTGTCATAGCACGTTCTTTTTATATTTGCCTCCGCAATCTGTATTTCTTCCCTGCCCTGAAAGTAAAAATACACCTTTTCTACAGGACAATAAAATGTTCTCTTTTTTTAAGTACCGGGCTTGACTTAGAATTTATCTTCACAGGCTTAGAGACTATACTACGTAATAATCGGTAATAATGGAGGTGTTGTAAGTTAAAGCATTAGCAAGGAAAGGATTTAGGATATCTTTAAAAAATTCTTAGTATCAATTGCTTTACATTGACCAAATACCGAATTTCATTTTAAAAATTGCGATATAGTTGGTCACTGCGTACAAACCACGAAGTGGATAACTGTGTTTTTTTACAAACTAAAGGAGATTAAAGTTAATAGTCTGTTTACCTTTGATCCTAAAAGTGAGTCTAGGTTTTTCAAGTAAAGTTGTCAGCAATAACAATGCCTATATAATTAACTTCTTTACTACTGAGGTTATAATATAATTACAAATAATTATACTTAAATGACGCTATTGTGTATCATTTTAATAAAAAGCTTTACTCCTCTGAGGGTTTATAGTATTTACGCCACTTGGCAAATAAGCACTCAATCACTTGTAAAAGTTTAAATTTGTTTGGTTGAAAGAGTTGTGTGCTTCAATTAGTTTTATCGTCTGCGAATTGAATTTCAAACATAGGAATAATGTTTGTTGCCGACATGGATGCTAAATGTACTGTAAAAAAAAATAACAAAAGTAGAGGGCCCGAAGTATATCTGCAACTCATGAGTTTACTACAACTTAACGGGCAAGGTGTCAACTCGCAACTATTACAGCTCGAAAAAGAGAGTCACGTCAGCGAGAATTGAACGCAGGACCTTAAGTAGGCGCTTCAATAATCTTAACCGCTGAGTACCACGACCAATCATAAATCATATAGGTTTTACGTATTTAACCTGTTAAAGTTGGCTTGTTCAACTTTCGTAAAGTTTCTCCTCTTTTTATAGAAGATTTCATAATATAATATAGGTAACTAGGTAATAGCAATGTTGATTAGTAACCATGTACGAATTGCGTTAAGTACAGGGAAGAGTTATTTGCTTGAAGGTGCCTGACGACACTGGGTACATCCCTCGCAGGTTTTATACGTAAAATCGCCTAGTAATTCAATGGTTAGGAGCACACACGCTACTCAGGGTCGTGCGCGCAACTCTTCTTTTTTTTGGTCTTTAATAATTGCGTATTTAATCTCGCCTTGGCAGTGGTGAAAATCAACCCAAGAGCCTAAGTATACGCATGAATGCTTTCACTCGCTGAGCTACGACGAATTACAGGCCTTCACTCCGCCAATTAGAGAGGCAACCAATATTACCCGAAAAATATCTTTTTTTTTCTAATGAAATGCGTGTTTATAATAAACTTTTCTTATTCTGTTTAAATGAAATCTTTGCTTGATTAAGATTTTTCTTTTAGAACTATCAATCTTATGAATGCACACGCCCTCAGGAAGCATCCCTTTATATCTTCTAGACAGTTAGTAACAATACTAATTTCAGTCCTAAAGACTGAAGGAACGTTGCAAATCGACAAAACAAATACCTTGTTTGTTAAAATGAATATATATATAGATTTAAATAAACCAAAGAGATTGAATCTACCAGTCAAATTTTAAAAAAAAAAATACAAAGCGCATACACCTTGGCTGCGAGGGTCTATAATATTTAATGGCGTACTGTAAGCGGAACCCTAAAAACTAACTAATAATATGACGGTAAATCCCATAGTAATACCTTTGAAGATGGCGTTGCGTTTCGCGCTCCAAGTAACAATCGCAGTAAATATCCGAATTTTTTTCTGAGAAAATGCAGCAAGGGTTAGTTCTTTGTGGTCATTTTTCGCATTACTAAAACTTATCGGGTGGCTAGCCCCTCGCAAATAAGCTGGAATATGCTACGATTGTCTTTTTAAACGTTACATCTCTTAATTTGTGTTCTCCCGCTCAGGAAAGCTGGGTTACAAATGCCCAATCATTATTCCGAAGGTCAGGGGAGCATTAAAATTGCCACTACCCGGAGAGACAACTTTAAACACTAAAATTTGAGACCTTTTCGAGATACTTGCCTCGCATTTTAACTAATCATTGTACCCTTAAAATTATTTCGAAGTCAAAAATAGTTAGTGTATCCCAAGCAACTTCCTAATTAAACCAAGCACCTCCATATAATTTTAATTGTTTTATATTAATACATCAGTCAAACATTATCAAATAAAATTTAATTAAGTTTTGCCCCCAATTATTATTACTCATTTTTGTTTTTTGGTTTACTTTTACTTTATTAATATTCACTTATATAAAGTTTTACTAAACAGCGAAGGAACAAAAAATTTTGTAAAACCCTCACAAGCCGTTAATCGTAATGAATCGGCTTGTACTTGCGATTAAGGGCGAGCCATAATACCAATAATATGCCTAACTGAATACCTAACCAGACCCCTCTAAGGCATGCAATGAACCACTGCTCCAAAAAGTTGTTTATAAAGCAAATATTACTTAGGTTTTAACGTTTAACTTTCTTTAGCTATATTAGCAATTGTGCAAAATCTCTAATTAATCCAGTCCGCTTTCTTATTTTTTAAGTTTAATTTTTTTGCCTTTCGCGTGTTTAAAAATTTTACGAATAATAAGTTAAAGCTAAATTTTTTTATTTTAGTCTTCCAGGAAGTATAGCAGAGTGTTCTATTCAAGTAAATGCTGCTATATATGCATTTCAAATGTATTCTTGCGGACGCATACTTTTGTATATAGGGAATAATAGTTGATATTGTTGATCCCAATAGAGTCATACTTGACGATGGAACAGGTATTGATAATAATAAATTTTACTTCTATTAAAATTTTGGGTGCTTTCCTTTCTAATTTATGTAACATAGATGTCATATTGGTTAACTTAACCCTTTTACAGACAACGTTAAAAGCGTACTTTGATTTTACAATCGGTACTTTCACAAACAATATTCTATATGTATAAAAGATTTTTAGCATTAAACAGGTATGTATGCCTTTGTCGCTGGTAGAGTAAAAAGCGAAAGTAATATATTCTATATTCTATGCGATAAACTTGTGAACCTTTCGGAGGAGGTCGCATATATATTCATACTTAGTAACACTTGAACACACTTAAATAATAGCCTAATCGCGAGAGTTTGTGGAATATTGAAGTCGTTTACGCTGCTTTAACGTTCTACAAAAAAAATATGAAGAAAGTTTTATTTAGTACTGGAAACATCCTTGCAACACAATTTTAACTTATTCATAATCTTTAAGAGCAGATGCACTTAGTTACTTTTTATGAGCGTCTTGTTAAAAGGTGTCTTTCATATAATATTTAATATAAATTTAATAAGATTTATAAAATTACTATGAACCCTTATAAACTTGCTCTGACCTATAAAGTATAAGCTTTTCGTAAGCTTATATTATTGCATTATTGAACTTTTAAAATGGCAAACTTTTAGAAAATGGTCACTCCTACTTTTTATTTTTTAAAAACAAAAGAAAAGGTATAGTCTACAAGGCATAAGCAGTAAGCCATCGCTAAAGCTTAGGATAAAGATTATAAATTCTTTTTTACGTGTAAATTATAGTACTTTCAAAAAATGTATTTTTTAGATAGTATATTATTTTTAAAAGTGCAATACATAAGTTATCGTGGTCGCCTAAGAAGAACAAGAACAAATATAGTTTGAATGTCGGCAGTTCTATTAACTACTTGATAGGGCTGATAAATTACACTTCAAAGCGAAAAAAAAAATTTAAAAAGTAAAATTTATTGTAAATTAGTTAAAGGAGTAGCGCTATATGAATATTTAATAGCTTTTAAATAATAAAAATATAAGGTTGTAAAAATTTTATAACTAATCGCGTTAGCTATAATAAAATCAAATTCCGACGCCTTTAACACTTCACTAAGTCTAGTAGGACTTTATCTCTAGGGTCCAAATCTGTATATCAGCTTTCTTAGTAGTCGTCGACTTTCATAAATTCTGACCCAACAATTTGTCAAGCAGACCAGCCTAATAAGCAATAAGCCCAGACAGAGCTTCATCGAAACAGCGACTAAGATGCTTCTAATACATACAGCTGCGATGATATTTGATATAATAAAATATAAAGGTACACAATTCTTTTGCCTTATAGTTACGACTTCGTAATACTTCCACCGTTTCTGTTACGGTTCAGAAAATAGTAAGTTCTCTGAAGTTAATAAGGCCCAAAGACGAACTTATAAGAGCTAAAATATGTAAACTAAACTTTGAGCGAAAGTAACTAACGGAGCTAAGACCCTAGGGTAGGAGTGGAGCTAGCGTAAGACTGCTCCGCCCCTCCTTGGTTACGCTCCCTTGTAGTACTCTAATTAGCGCACGTGATTAGTTTCCAATTTTGGTCCATTACTATATGTGATACACCGTCTACACGTTCGAGGGAAAGTTGGGTTTATTTTCTTCATGGCTCCCCTCTCTAGCAACGGAGGTTCCGTTTCGGTCTATTATACTCGTATGATCTGTTCATTTCTGTTGTAGTGCTCTCTTGTTCTGTTTGTGTTTTTAGTCCGTTTGTCTTTTTTTTTCTTCTATACTGTTTGTTCATTAAGTTGTCTCATATTTAATAAAAAAAAAAATTTGTAGACCTTCTTTACCTATTTAATATTATTCTTATACACAATGCCCAGTCACTTCATAGAAGTGACATTACCCTTTGGTGCTTTACAGTCAGTATATATGACTATGTCAAAGCTGTGCACAGGCGGAATAGAACTTAAGAAAAGAACCTAGAATAAAGCCAGAGCTTAGAAATTGGATATGAAAGCAAAAGTAAATCAAAGAGAAAACATGCGATAAGCGCTTTGTATAGAGAAGGTAACAGATTCAGCTTCCTCTAAGGTTGGAAGCCTTGAATTCCTCTTTAGCCCTAAAAACGCAAATCATAAAATTGTTATCCATTGTTTGCATTTAACATAATAATATCCAATGAAAAAGACGAATGGGGCATATGCTATTAAATTCATAGCAGTATCTGAATTTTGATTTTTACAAACTCTGACCCGTAATTGTGTTAAGCAGGCGAGTTCTGTAAGCAATAAAGCTAAGCAGAACTTCATAGAAACAGCAGCTAAAAACTTAATTAATTTTTCTAGTTTTCTTTACACAGCTTTAATGACATAACAAGTGTGCTCATTTTTGTTAATTATAAAGTTAATTGACTAATTTTAAGAAATTAAAAAGGTTTAATGGTGAACGTCTGAGAATAACCAATTAAAACATTTAAACTCTCAAACAGTTAAAAAAAGACAACTGGTTTAAATTATAAAAACCAGCTGTTTTTTATTATGAAATATATATGTAGCTCCAACCGTTTTTTTTATTTTAAGTGCTCTTAAGCACATGCTACACCTAGACAACGAGTATAAAAGTTAAAAAGTAATGTTAAGTCAAAGTTGCTTATCAGTGGTTTTTTGGGCTTCCCTTAACGCAAACTAATTTTTTAGCTTAGAGCGGTAACGTCTCTTCTCTATGGTTGTATCTAAATACCATTTTTAAACTCAAAGTATTTTATAAGCGCTCACTGATTATTAAAAAAATTAATAATTTATGATTTGATGAAATTTTTTTGGAAGATTGGAATTTGAAGAACGAAAAGTTACCTTTTATTTATCAAGATCAAACTACAAAAACACGTGGGGGTTGAACTTAGACTTACTGTATATGGGGTTCTCGAACAAGAGGTAATTTGGCATCGAGCTAAAAATTCATTTATACTAAGTTTTCAGTAAACTCATCATGAACTCTAATAAAGTCGGGCATCGAAAAGTTCCAGAGTTTTGAGCTCAAATCCGTATTAAAAAAACCTCAAAAGGGTATTTTTTTCCAACCTAGAAATCTTTGTAGGTACTGTTTAATGGCGCTGTTATCGTTTATGCAGCTTGTCGAAATAGCTTTTACCTTTAACAGTACTGATGCTTTAAATTCTACAGCTTTCAATGCAACACACAAAAATAGTATGTGCCTAAGGAAGCTCGTACTTAATCTTCTGTATTCTCAAATCTCACGGTATAAAACTCTATTATAAACCGGTGACCTCTATTTTATTATTAAAAACTTTTAATAATGTTAAAAAAAGAAGGCTGTGGTAACTGTGAACGAATAGACAAAATTTCTGTTTAAATCGACAAATATTGCACAGTAACTTATAAAAATTAAATTATAAAATATTATCATAATTTACTTGGAAGTGCGCGAGGCCAGCTTAAACAAAAACTAAGATCATAGTACTTAGCTTAGATGCAAAAAAATTCAGACGAGAAGCAATGAAGGAATATAATAGAGATTTACAAATCCTCTATACTCTGCAGAATATAATCTTTAAACTAACGAAAGCACAAATTAAAAAATCTTTCTTGTAGGGTGGGCTCCAACTTGTCAATGAGATGTTATTAAAGGATGCGCTTGCGTAAAATAAAAATCCATATATATATTAGCGCTATTGCTCAATATTTACTAGTTTTTCATAACTTCACTATAGTGAGACCTATAACAATTATCTAAAAGATATATATATATACAAACACGAACCAAAGAATACAAAGAAAAAAGGACATGAAAAGAAAGAATAAGTTTGTTCAAAAGTTAGTATTTTTTTTATGTAACCTATAATGGTAGCTTTGTTCAACTATGATTGTTGGCAATATGTATACTGGGCTGGTTATCACCGTGCATACTTATTGGAGTCTCTCCTTAAAAGCCCAGTTCTCGTAAGGCCATTTAGCACACGTAATAGCTTCGACTAGAGCAATACGCTCTTTCTTTCCGAAGGTAAGTGCAACTGTTGTCTACTTCTCGGTTCCCAAATAATGGGAAGGTCGTTGTCAATGATTTATGTAGAGGAACGGGATTTACGAACTTCTTAAGAGCCATAACTTTGAGTAGGCTTTAATATCTAATCTGCCCTCCCTTGTAGACCTTTAGTGTTAATGTCCTGTGACAAAAGTCGTGTATGTAATTTATCGACCGAGAATGTGGGTTGTCACCGTAGCTCATTGGTTAGAGCATTGTTGCGCCTACTCAAGGTATCGGGTTTGATTTCCGTCAATACCAACTCGCATTTTTCTGGTTTGGTATTTACGTGTACAGCCTCCCTATAAACAAAATTCTGACATAATGTGTCTTGAAGGTGCATCATATGCATTTTACTGCTACCAATGTACGTTGCAGAACGAATTAAGATGCTTTAATAACTTTAATTATCACAAACTTTGATAACACACCAACGCATAAGGCGAAAACAAAAGAATAGGCGATTGTTTTATTATTTATTTATAAACGACAGTTCCTGGTGCTCGATGTAGTCAAAAAACTTTGAATACTCGAGCTCTCAATCAGAAGTGATAGCAGACATGGGGCATAATAGCTTTCAACCTAAAAGATGTCATTTTTTATTTAAAAGTAAACTTTGATTAATTTTTCGGTGTAGACAAGGCGACTGTATTTGATTCTTTTATGGATTCATTATATTGATTTTTTTTTTATAATTTTTTTTTATAACAATTTCATTAACATAGGCAAGACTTCACTGTAAAATTATTTAATAATAATAAGATATAGTTTAAAAGCAGAGCGTAAATAACTAAGAAGAATGTTAAAATTATATAAATGAGGAGTAGTTATGTATAACAACAAGATATAAATATAAAATTAATATATTTAAGTTATTATATATTAAGCATTAAAAGTACAATGACCTTTAAAGAAAAATAGTTAAACAATTAGAATTAAAAAGTGGTGTTAATATCGATGTACTGCTCAAAAAACGTCGAAAGGAATATTTATACCGCTCTCACATTAATTTTTTCGAGCTAGTTTATAAATGATTGATTGCGCGTACCAGAAATGGAAGAATTAAAATGAGAGAGCGTAGTGTAGCTGAACTATAGCTCGAAATTAATAGTGTGCCCCCGCTAAGGATTTCAGCATTGTACAATACTCGGGCAAAGTCTCGCAAGAAGGAAACTAGCACATTCAAGGTAATACTAATTTTGAGCAGTTAAGTACGTTATAAAAATATATCTTGGAGTATTTGCTAGCAGATAAATTCACAATTGCGGTTAGAGTGCGAGGATTATCACTTTGCTCTTAGTCGCCAATGTGGGGTCCACGTATATGGCCTGAGAGGACCTTGGGATCATTAGTAGACTAAAAGTTACCAAATCTTAAAAAAATACGGAATTAAGGATTTTTTTTACATTTTTATTTTCCAAAAAATTTATAAATTTTAAATATAAAAGGGGTACAATTTTAAATAAAATATTAATATTAACACCTTCGAAGGGTTGAGAAGTGCTCTGCTATTTTCTGCATTAAAATTGGCAAGAATTTTAAAGTAGTGTTGTATTGTCGCAGTAATGAATAGTTCTTTAAGGACAAGTAAACTGCGATCTCTACATCAGCGAAGGGCGCGACGCGGAGTAAAATGTCCTTCATGTATATTAAGGAGAGTCAGGGGATAAAGTGAAGAGTTTAAGGTACCCAGTAAGCGTAATAGACCATTATGCCATACGCAATCAAAGGGCGCAAAAGTGGTTGTGTCCTCTATGAAATGAGACTTGAATCCTGCAAGAGTTTTGCTTGTTTCTACAAACTCTCCAGTCGGCATAGCCTTCACAGTTTTGCCCACTGCTCATATTAGGCTAATGGGGTATTTGCTGGAATTCTGTGCAGCACGCGAAGTCTTGGGTAGCATCATAACAGTGGAAGTGGGCACAAGTCGACAACTTTTTTAACATTTAGTTACATGATTGTTGGGGCAGTTTGCTTTCTGTCGCAAAAATAGAGGTGATGCTTTGCTCGGTTTTTAAGTCCTTCGCCAACTTTGAAAAGTCTTACGGTGTCTTCCCTTCGTCTTAAAAGTAGCCTAAGTTCGGAGAAAAAAGCACTTAGTCGCGAGGTGAGAGACCAAGAGCGCCATCTTAATCTTCTTTGCTACTAGCGCAAGAACCCCTTCATTAGATGACAGTGGTTGTATAAGAAATGGTCGTTAATTTTTTAAGAAAGCTCCAAAATTTTGTCGGCCGCTACAGAGACACCCTGCAGTTTAACCTTCCCAGCGATTATAATAAAAAGATGCCGTGCTTTCCCAATGTGGTCTGTGAAGACGATTTAGCGGCATTTTGTTGTTGGGGTGATAATCTGACGAGAGTTCATCCAGCTCGGCGAAAGATATAGACTATTGGAAGTCGAGAATATTTGATGTTATCATTTTATACACATGTGCGGCGGAGGTTGAGGAAGCAGCATGCGAAATTGTGTCTGTCCAAGTCCTTTTCAAGTTTTTCCCGTTTGGAGTTGGAACTCGACTGCTCCAAGCAGCGTGGTTGCAGTAAAAGTCCTCCACATAAAAACGGCGGGCGAGCGCCGTGAAGCAGTTTCACAGATTATCTTTAATCGTCAGCTTGTCGAAAGGTTTGTAGGGACCGATATTTTATCGGTTTCTTCATAGCACCGAAAGCTACAATTCCCACCCCCTTTAAAGTTGGAAGAGCAATTGAGTACGTTGTGTAGTTGCAGGGTACTAGTCGGTTGTTTGCTTTTAAGTGTCTCTCGCTTAGAAACACGACATCTACACTCCCTCTGCAACAGCTGCAGCAGTTTCTACTTGTTGCAGTGCATTCCTTGAAAAGAGTTTCAGTTGGCGCAACGGTAGGTTCCTACAGTCAGTTGCGGTCGTCATGTTTCAATAGAACTTGCAGGTGAGTGTTAACGGCTCTTCTGTTTCGCAACAGTACAAATCGTTGCTGTTGCTGTTGAACGGGTTGCGGTGCAGTCGCTTTTGTCTTATCACGGCTGCTAAAAAAAGTCGGCATTTTTAATTGTGTTTCCCCGGGTCGTTGAAGTGTCTATATATTATATTTGCTTTTAAATCTTTAATTATTTCTCATTCATTTATATATAATTTTTTCCTTATTAATTTTTCTTTATATTTTTTTTATTTTCTACCACTAACCTCATCTTTCATTACTCGCCGACATTATATAGTATATTTATAATAATGCAAAACCAACTCAATTCTTTTCAACCTGCAACATGGAATGGATGAATTCTACGGCATGCTTTATAAGTAAGACGGTGGCTAATAGACATAAAGTTAGCATTAACTACTCAAGATTCCATATCATATTCTTCCCTAACAAAAAAATAAAAACTTAAAAAATCGACTGTTGGAATTCTAATTATAATTAACAGTTTACATCCTGAGATCAAGTCAAGAATTGAAGAGTTACGAGTGACCACTCTAGAACAAACTATAATGCATTTGGAAGGTCACCCGTAACCTTCATGAGCAAACTATATGAAACATATGCAAGAAAGAGGGATGACGAGACCATCACAATTAAAAGCCTTTTACCTTTTGTTGATGAAATTACGAACTTACATAAAATCATAGCCCTACCCACAAGCTTGGAGAAGAGTTAAAATATGATGTTATATCGCTAGAACAATATTACAGTAATAAACCAGAAAACTTGAATTACCGTTATGCACTGAATGCCTTATTACAAGCGGAAAAACAAGCATAAAGTTGATAACAACTCGAATGCCTTTTCCCTATATACGTCCTATAATCAACAAATTTACACGGGAAAACAGACTTTCAATTTTTAAAGGCCGAGCGCTATCCTGCATAGGCTGTCAGGGTCAACATTTAAGATCAAGATCTTAACGTCCATACATTAAGCAAACATGCAATTTTTGTAAATAAAATTGGCCACATTGAAGAGGCATGCTTTCAATAAGACATCATGGCAAACTTAAAATATAACTCTTTGAAAAAGTACGAACCCAGGGATAAAGATGGTGTTGAATTCTATCCTTATTTTATCAAAGATAGAGACTTATTGACTGATATCCGATACGATAAATACGTTATCGATACAATAAATGATATCACCGTGGCTTACCAAACCTGCTTTTGAAATTTTAGATCGCGGTAAAGCTTATGACAAAAATTTTAAACATAGCCTGATCTCTGTAGGTAAATTAAAAGAAAAAGGATATGATATCTGTTTTAAAAAATTATAAAGTTTTTAATAATAAGAAAGGCAAGGTTATTGCTCAAGGTAGAAAAGAGATGGCTTATTTCTTATAAACGGTCACGGCATCGATCATACAGCAATGAACACGACGTTTAATACCATGAGGTCTAAGTTCGTCATCCCTGGAGAACGCTTCAGCTATGGGCATATTAGCTATCCTTACTTAAAAAGAATTTTTCCTGGTATATTATAATTTAAAGATCTAGAAAAAAAAGTTAACAAAATAAGCGAAACTTAGAATTAACGTATTTCAGGGCGGTTAATGTATTTTGACACCTCATATTGGGACATACCGTCATATGAGGGGCACAAGTATGTTAGAACCGCGACGGAACCTAATTCTAAACGAGTCTCCATAACCTATGAGAAGTCTAAACATAAAATAATCTAATAATTTAATGGGTTAAAAGACGAAATAAATAAATAAAAATTTTAAAAAAAATGGAACTACCACAGCTGTTGTGGAGAAAATAAGAACTAACAAGGGTAGTGAATATTAGTTAATGATAAACTTGTCCAAGAACTACAAGATGCAGGCGTTAAATTGTCAATGGTACCTAAAGACACAAAGCAGTATGCGTTGAGTGAAAGACGCATACAGACATTGTGTAACACGACTCGTCGCATGTTAAAAGTTCAAATTACCAAAGTTTTCTGGAGCGAAGCTTTACGTGGCGCGGTCTACATATTAAACAATGTTCCAAGAAAGAATGTTTTCGATTTAGATGCAGCGGACTAAGTTACTATCAGAAACCTCTAGTTTATAAAATCCTGTTGGATGATCCTGAATTAAAAAAAATTCATGATCGGGCCCTTGACGGCATTTTTCTTTCCAAACCGATAGATTCTACTAAGGATGAATACGCTATACAGACGAGGAAAATCGTAAGATCTAGAGACCGTTGTTAATTTAAAGACATCTCCTTTGACATTGCTAATGAAGATTTTTTTTAAGGTCAACCTTTCCGGTGCTACTATTGATACTATGATGCTACATCAAAGCAAACAATACTGCTAGGGAAGATATAATGTCTCATATACAAGCAACTTGCGATAAAATTTTTCTAGAAAGTATTAATGAACAGACAACTCATAATTTCGGCTCTAGCCACAACTTTTTTTTAACAAAATTAATAATAACAACTGTTAAAGTAAAAATTACAATAGTAATAATAATACTGATAACCATCATAGTAATAATAATAGTAATAGTATTAATAGTAATAATTAATTCTAATAATAGTGAGCATAACTATATGAACGATAGACGATACTATACTCATTCCAAATAACACGGACTACTAGGGATATAATTGATGACAGAAAAAGTTCTGGAAAATAGTGACTAGAAGGTTTCTCAACCAGGTATACTCTTGCAATAATAAACCCAAAGATCATTTAAACCATAAAATAAAAATATAACCCTTATCAACCGGTCACCATTAAAATTAAAACACCAAGTTTAATTTACAAACAAACAAGCCCTTAAAAAATCAAATTAATACAAAAATGTTGCAATCACGAAGATTAGCCCCTTTTTATAGAAGAAATATAGGGTACATCAAATAAAAGAATGTCTGACAACACTGACGCACCAACTAAAAAACGAAAAGCCAGTAATAACCTTTTGACACAAAACAAACTTTTGTTTAACATACATTGAAGCCATGCAATCGACAAACAGAGATAATTACCTAGAAGCAGCTTAAACTATTAAAATTACAACTACGTGGAGGTTTCATGTCAAACAATCAGTTCAAAGTGAGACTGACTGCGAAGGGATACCAACAAGTACCTGATATCGACTAGATTTTTTCCCCTGTTTTTTCCAAATTGTCATTTTCATTACTTATTAGCAAGCTAAATTTACACAGATATAACTACGGCCTTTTTACATTCCAAATTATAAAAACCAAGTCTATGTACACATACCTTAAGGCCTACATATGATATTAAACTAAATATATTGTCAGCAAAGGAACCTTAACCACTATAATATAAAAAGAAAAAGTGCGTTAGGAATTAATGTTGCTTTGTATGGTTTAAGACAGTCAGCTAGGCTCTTTCAACAAAGACTTGGTTTGCAGACTAAGGGATATATGGTTATTATCAAAATAAAACTGATGAATGCATTTTACTTTAACAATTATGAAACAATTATAGATATTTATGTTGATGACTGCATAATAGTTGGAGATCATGAAAAATTTTCTTTCTGATTTGAAAAAGGAGTATAATATAAAAGAATGCAGCAAAATTAGGAGAATGTTGGGGATTATTATAATAGATTAAAAGATTGTTACTTAATAGATCAAAGGTATAACATTACAACTTTTCTCAAAATTCCCCATTGACAAAATTAAATGTAGACTACTCTTACCCACCTATGCTAAAATTAAAAAACCCCCATTAATGGAAGCAATAACACTGAATGTTATAGTCTAATTGGATCTTTACGTAATGTTGCTGATAGCACTGGACCTGATATTTCACACGCGACATCTATGCTGATCCCGATTCCTCCATTGCAACAATGAAGATCATATGAAATTGGCACTTAGAATTCTTAATTACTTATATCAAACAAGAAACCTTTCGCATCATATCAATGTAATAACTATTCTGCTAACAATATTTAACTGAGTGCTATTTTAATACCACTTGGGCTGGCTCCTACGACTATAAAACATCACGGATCTTAAGTGCAACAGCCTTATATAGAAAACAAAAATAAATAAATCTTCTTGTAAGGCCTAGTATATAGCTTTAGGCAGGCTATATTAAATACATTGGCTCTAAAAAATATACTCTTTGAAAATTTTGCAAACTATGAATTAAAAGGAAAATTTTATACTGACATCAAAACAGCAAAGGATTTAGTAAAAGGAGATGCATCAAACAAGAGGGTAAGACATATTGATATAGCTTATCACTACATTAAGGATGAACTTCAAAAAGAAAAAATACTTATATTGAATAACTACCCTTAAGACTAAATCTGACAGACATATTTACAAAGCCTCTCATTTCAAAAATATAATATCTAGATTGCTGCTTTGGTGGAAACTAATATTTGATATGGAGCTATAACAGAGCTACCAGAATCTTAAAATAATACGGGGAATTGAAAATCCTCGAACATTTTTAATTTTTCCAAAAATCTTATAAATTTTATGTATAAAAGCGGTACAAGCCTAAAATAAAGTCCAACCCCTATCCTTTGTTTTTTTGTTTTCTTCTAATTAACTTTGGCTGCAATTAATTTGACTGAGAGCTTGAGTATTCGAATTTTTTGACTCAATTAGAGCCCACCTTAACTCTCAACTACTATTTTGTAACAAGCTTTTAATCCAGTAAAAATTCAATCCGTTTTGTTAAAACGTGTTTATAAGAATCATCATATCAACAAAGGTTTTCCAATCTATCTAGATACTATAATTATTTAATGATATATTTAACTTTAAAAAAATTAACAGATCGTATCAAATCCGAGATATCTTGCTCGTTATTTCTGTTTCATTTATTTACATTATTATGTTCTTTATTTTAGCATACCAATATATATAATGATTTGTTCAAATATTCCTCTATTCTAATAAACTGACCCAGACGAAAGCCCGATATATTGGTACTATAAAATGATACGGTATAAATAGTACATAAGCTAACTGCAATGATGGCTTTACCTATTTAACCCTGTTACATTATGACGCGTGGACAGTAGTAGATGACGGTTAAAGAGGGTAGAAAATTATTTACTCATAAGGTTTCAATTCCTAATGCTTACGTATCGCACTTTTTACCTTTGAAAGTTCCACGATTCAAAATTTTTTTTTGGTGTAATGACCTCTAGTTTCCAAAAAGATTTGCTTCATACGTTGGTGTCACAGACTAACGATTACACCAAGTCTGTACTACAAGAAGTGCGAGAAATTCGCACACAACTAGTAACTAGGGTTTTTTTATTCGTAACTTTTCAAATTCTAAAGATTGTTTTACTATGTTTATAAGAATGAATTATATGGCAGTGAACAGATTTTACTCTCCTCTGAGCTTTTAAAAATTAAAAAAGGTGTTTATTGACTTAACTATTCTTAACTACCCCATTTCCAAAGTAATTTTTTTGCTTTCTCCTGCTTTTTAGTGATAATAAGCTTTTTATTATTTTTAACAATCTTATTTCTTTAAGAATGTAACTATTATATACAAATATCATTACAAACGGTATTAGTGCTAGTTAGGGGAGACGGCATACCGAGGACTAAAAGCGTACTGTGAAAGATATTTACATCTGCTCTGACTTAACTTATTATATTTTAAGCACTTCTCGAGGTTGAAACAGAGAACGCTCTACTGGTAGAGTCGCTGTCAGATGCTCAAGTTGCCATGGCTATTGTAATAAAGGTTGGACGCAGAATATTTGCGTTTCCATCTTTTTACTGCTAAGGTAAGAAATTTCAAGAAAAGTTGAAAGGGTTTCAAGACCAAAATAAGGGGGAGCTATTACTTTTGAAAGCAAGTGTTTTATAGTTATCTTTTTCTCTTTCTCAAGTGTTCCTGCTTGACCTTTACTGCTCTACTATTCAGGACCAATTGGAAAAGGAAAGAAGACGACACGAACAGGTCTTACAGGAAAATATCGAACTGAAAGTCCAGAACAATGAGTTAAAGAGCCTTCTTTGTCTAGCGGCAGACGTGGACAACCACTGGCTGTAAGCTTAGTGATGTCGGTTCTCTAAGTATTACAGTTAAACTAACAGAACTTTTAAGAAGAGAAAGCACGTGCTATCAACTTGAATCTGAAAATACGACACTAAAAGAAGTTTTAAAAATATCTTGTCATAATAGTTGCATTACACTAAATAAATAAAGTTCTTTATTAACCAATAATATTGCTGGCTACACAGAGAAACTGCATAACTTTTTTGGCCAACACAGTTACAAGCATGATCCCTCCGCCCTTTCTATTTAGTCTTCTTTTTCAACCCCATGTCCTCAAGGCTCTCCTCCATGCGCTTCCTCAACGTCCCAAAGGAGTGTTTGTAGCGCGACTTTCGTTTTTTCTCCTCTTCAGTAAGCATATACAGCCAACGTTCTACGAGGTGAGCAAAAAGAGAGCGAGGTACCCTTGTTCTTGATGCCGACGGAGTCCGACTCTGTAGGTTTTCCTTGATTGCCTGCCAAGTAAAAAGAGCTACTATGACTAGATTTGATTTAAAAAATTTTAAATAACCTTCAAAGAGCTCTCTCGTAACCTGCATCTTACGACTCATTGACGCAGCAATACAGTTTTCGATCATCGTATCAACCAAGTAAAAAGGGATTACCGAGCGAATACTTGTTAAGAAGCAAGAAAAGCATAGTTTTCAATCAGGTATACGCAAGGCTAAAGGCAACCTGTGGGCCTCGAAGTAACCATGAAGATCAAAGCATTCCACAAAGTAAGACGCTTCTTGGTATTGAACGGCCGGAAGAGAGGCGCTTCGTGATTCCGCCTAGAAGGCATTAAAATTCTAGTTATATAAATTGATCTCGCTGAGCGAGCGGTGTGTAAAGTTGAGATGCGGACCAAGAAAGCCCTTTCAAGATAGCTAATACTAGTTACTTTTAGTGAAATTTAATAAGTTAAAGACTAAAGCCTTTAATACTAAAAGGAGAGTGGAAACGAAATAAATTACACCCAACGCGAGCATCACTATGGACGCGTCAGGATTACAGAGAAGCAACTCGGGGACGTAAGTCCTAACGGCATTGAGAAAGGTGGCCTTCTTAGTTATGTCGAATACCATGATGACGAGAGAGCAATAATACGACTGTGAGAAACAGCGAGTAAAAAAAAAAGACAAAATTCAAAATCTCTTCTTGTGTGACTAACAATAAAAATTGCCTATTTGTAGGGTAAAAATACCTCTTGGAAAACCAGTTGACGGCTAAGGCGGTCAGGGCACGTGACATCCATGGAACCATGTGAGCTGCCAAAAGATGAAAAATTAGAATAAACTTATAAGACGCAAATTAAGCAGTTACGCTTCATAAACAGCGACTACTTTGTTAATAATAACAATTCGGCCTTTACTGTAGTAGCCCAGGACAATAACGCAGAAACAAAGTTTGTAGTAGGCTGCCATTTAAGACTGAATGCCAAGATAAAAAACAAAACGATGATTTCTAAGTGATCTAGAACTTATTAGTTTAGGACCTAACAAGCCTGAATTACCTCCAAAAACACGACCTGAGAGCTTTAGTGTAACAGGCTAAAATTATCAAAATTCACCGAAGGGGAGACAAAAGGGAAACTACTTTTTTTTTTACTATACAATATAATATCAACCTAGAGGGTCTATGTATTGGGAAAATAATTAAAATCTAAAACTGTCCATCCAAACAATGAGACTGCAAATTATATTTACGATAAAAAAGTCATCTAAATCACTGGTAAAAGTTTAAACCAAAAGCATACATCCAATAAACTTCACATAGGTACCTAAGAAGTAAGTTAACTGTAGTATCTCCTACTTTTAATATATGCTGCTTCCTTTGCATAAATACCTTTGGCTGATACTTTTGCAGCTCTCTTATGGATCTTTGCCCGGTAAAATAGTGCAGCAAGCTATTAATTCCTAAACAAAGATATTTATAAGTTTAAAAAACTAATGAATTTTTTGAATAACAAAACTACCCGAATCAACATCTCCTACAAAAAAGACCCATTCCAAATTAGTACTTAACTTTTTAGAAGTTAGGTGCTGCTCCCTTTATATAAGAATTTTAACGTAAAAATAAAAATATTGTAATAAGCAAAAAGTATGTTTTTCAAAGTGCTTTTAATAACGAACATATTAACACAAATTGATTACAGTAGATACTAACTGGTTGGGTGAGTTATTAGTCTGCATTTTCGCTTCTTTTTTAGGCCCAAATAAATTTATAAATTAAGTCATAGTGAAGCGGGGATAAAGTATGTACGTTAGATATAGTGTGCGATTACAAGCCCTGAAAAATCCGAGCACACCAACCATTTTATTTGAAGGCTACTTCTGGACGGTCATTTTATTAAAATTACAAAATTCTTTGGTACGAAATAATATAACTTGCTACCAGGAGATAAGAGAGTTCCAACAAGTTTTCCTACACTAATTTTTTTTTTTTTACAAAATAAACAACCACTAAAAGTTCTCTATTAAAATGTTTTTAATGGACTAATCAGATCTACTAAAAAAACCTTGAAATGGAATTTTATACTTGGATAATAAGGAATAAAAACATGAATGCTACTAATAATAAACACATACAGCGTTTTTGGATATAACCATTGCTCAATGCATTTTTCTTATACTTTTATATATTTTTATATATTCATCTATTTGGAACTTGCAACAATATATTGTAATATGACTGACAACGATTTTGGGTAAGTATACTTTATGTAAGTTATTAGTGATACTCAAACAAAACGCTAAACAAAAGGTACAGAATGCTTTTTCTGTTTTTTAGGGTTAAGGACAACTTTGAGTGTACGTAATTATATCTTAAATGTATGAGTTAATTTACCTGTTTAGCAGACGGTACTATTACTATGACATATAACGCAGTTTTAACCAATGATAATATTGGTAAAATTACAAATGACGAATGATTTACGCAATCAGCTTAGCCAACAGTTTCCACCATAACCCTCTATTGCACTGTAATTACAACTATTTAAAAGCAACAAGACAATTTTTTTAAGCAAAAAAGGAGTGAATTTAGGAGACAACGCTTTAAATAATTAATTAGAAAGTCAAGATTTGGCGATTTCTCCGAAATGTCATAATGAGCAAGCGTGCTACTAGTTATTAGGTTTTATAAATTTCATCTTGTATCCCCGGGATCATGTTTTTTTAGCTTGCCATCATACATATATATATATATTAAATCCATATAGATAGGGAGCCTTAAAGTTTATTAACTTCACATTATATTGAAGTATTAATTAGATATTCGAGCGAAATATAGCTTACACAATTTCGGGTTTACTTTGAGATAGCTACTTGTGAAGTTAGGCAGGAAGATTTAAGTAGGGATGCGTGTTGTAGGTGCCACCAAAAAGTCGCGCATCCTTTATCAATCTAGAAAATAATACTGAATAAAACAAAAATTATGTCATTTTTTTTTTGAAAAATAAAATTTAAAGTGAAACCATATCTAACAGGAATTTTACGGCATGGCCTTCATAGTAGATTATTTAAATTTGGGAAAAGCTAATTTTTTATGTCAACTTCTTTGTAAGTTTTCATTATGAGTTGTCGAAGTTTTTACACTTTGGTTCACATGTTTTGTTAAAAATAATAAAGAGATAAGTAGATCTCTTCTAACTTTTTAAATTGCTCACCTCCCATAAAGTATGCCATTCGGATATATAATAAAATATTTGTATCTATGACTCTGTCCTCTTCCTTTTGGTGAGTATAATAACCACTACTTGTGTCGAAACCCTACGTGCATGTCACCCAAGGTCAACGAAGGGTGTTTGATTCAGGGAGTTGATATTAGTACTAATGAAGGTAATTTATATTTACGTGGAAAAATATACACCATTATTAATTATTTTAAGATTAAAAATAATATTTTTTTCATTATATTCAAACCTTTAGGATTGTTATGAAAAGATAAATGGATCGCTAACCGAAGTTCCTTTTGAAGTAGTTGAAGATTTGAACCTGTTAAAAATAAATCTATCGTACTAAATCGATATTAATATTAAATAATTATAAACTAATTGTGAGGAAAGAAATAACCAAATAAAGGAAATACCCCCCTTCATCAAGAGGTTATCTTTACTGCAAAAACTAATAATTTCCCAAAATTCAATAACAGAGTTGGTAGATTTTCTTAGTGGGCTACCTAACCTTTTTTTTAATACTTTTTTTTTCAGCCCCGAGCTCTTGGGAAATTGGTGTCACTAACTTTTCTGGATGTGTCTCATAATTCATTAATATCTATCCATCCTTGTGTTACGGTTTTACGGAATCTTGTTCATCTGGTGAGTAGTTTATTATCAACCTCTTCGAAGTTTCTTATAAAAAATCCCCTGGTTACTTAAAAGTAGTTGTCTTAATAAGTTTTAAAGACAGCAAACATCTCTTTTGCCTTCATGGCATAAAATATATTCTGTATAATTCAAGGATCTTTCCTATAATCTACTCGAATTTCTCCCCGCCGATTTCGGATCTTTGTCCTGCCTTGAGCAATTTGTGTAACGACTATTAGTTAAAACTTATTTGTAGTTATTATGTGAATAATGTTTTTAACAGCTGTAGTCACAACCAGCTAAAAACTCTGCCTCGTTCTATTGGCCTCTGCAATCGTGTTAGCATTTTCTTTTCCCATCCTTGCTAGCGTTACAGTGTTAAAAGTAAACAAAAGACTTATAATACTTTCATACGCGGTGATGAAGTTTAAAAGAAAGATTACACTTCTTTCTGGTCGTACAGTGCGTAGAATATCCAATTTTAAGCTTTTATAAAATACATCATTTATATATGGGAATACAGACTTTGCTTAACTTGACTTTAGGTTAAAGTTAATGTTATTTTGGTTATATGTTGACTTATACTTTTATATTGCTACTATGAAGCTCACTTACTTGGACCTCTCTTACAATCTCCTAACCGAACTCCCCCGCGAAGTAAGCCCTTTCCTACTTTATTTGACTTCCTTTGACTTCTCCGCTTGCTTAGCTGGCAAATCTTTCCGGAAATCTTGTCCATCTTGATGTCTCTTTTAAATTATCCTTTTACGTTTGTTTATTAATATGACGTTCTTTAGATCTTTCATAATCGGCTTAAAAATGTCCCTCCTTTTATTACTGCGAAGGGGACTGCCGCTATTCTCTTGCATCTTAAGCTAAACAGCTACGACAGCGGATCGTCCAGAGCTTTTAGGTGGGCTTCTCGGCATCTGTGAGGCGTTTATTAGTTAAGCCTCTTTTCGTTAGCCCTGCTCGACCCCTCTCCGAATTAAAGCAGATGAAAATAACTGGTATAGCCAACGCAAAATCTAAAACTTGTTCTCTTTTTGTACTTATTCGAATTTACCTTGTGTAAGTACACGGCTGTAAAATTCTTGAATCTAACCGAACCTGGACTGGTACTCGCTTATAAGGCTCGCTTCTTTCTAAGCTTCCACTATAAAACAAGGACCACTCTCTTCGGGCTTGTATGTGGAGGTTGTGGTAGATGCTGAAAGGGGCGCACCTTCGCGGTACCGCACTAAAACCTGCAAGAATTTTTCTGAGCCCGTGTGGAACGCCTCTTTTACTTTGTACTTTTCATATGGATTTCCCTCTACTACTTGCACAGTTGTGATTTGCTATTTATTAAAAAAAACTCTTATTACTGCACGCTAGTTGCCCAAATTTGTATAGTAGTAGCCTTCAAAGCACTCTTCTAAATTCGCTTGTACTCCTTCAGCCTTTTTAATCCGAACTTCAAGGTGGCGGCTTTTTTATACGCCAAAATGATCCTCGGTCCTGCTCTTCTGGTGGCCAGCGCGTCTATTCCAACAAGCGGCGTCACTGAAGGTTCCAACAAGATTGTTACTTTCTCTTCCCTTTTTTTTTTTTATCAACTTATTCAAAAAGGGTTCTTTTAATAGTTATCTAAAGTGTTAACAATTAATATTCTTCATTCGTCATAACATAGATACCGATCTTTCGGTGCGGCTCTCTTCTGGCTCAGAAGGTTCAGTGGGCAGCGCAATTTTAGGATTAAAGGTAAAACTTCTAAGCATATGCATGAGTGAAGCTTAAGACCCCTTAGGTGGCCATTGCCAACGACTCTGGTGTGCCTCTGCATCCAAACACCTCAGTTTTATCTTCAAATGTGTCGTTGGATACGCCTCTGACGATCCGTACTGAGGCCGCCTTATTGTAAGCCAATAAGCTTCTTGCCTCTGAGCAAAGCTTCTTCCATTGCAGCAGATCGAGCGCAAGAGTTGCTGAAGCACAACGTGGGAACTCCGAGCAAACTTTTTCTTCGGTATCTCTTTCACGGCTCTGTCTGCTCTCTAAGTTATATTCATTCTTTTTAAAAGATGTCTTCTTCAAACTACTCAAGTTCGAGAATTAACAGTTCGGACCTCCCGCCAGGGTGCCCCTTTCCTATTACTCGCGCACCGTTTCATTCTCAATGCTTTTGACTAGATGGGAGAGGAGGGTAGACAGCCAGAGGCGTATTTTTTATGTAGATCACAACACGCGAACAACAACCTGGGATCCCCCAAGCGCTAATGAACTTCCGCCAGGTAGAATATAATAATAAAATATATAAACACAGCTGGTCGCCATTCCCTGCTATTATTGATCCACTACGAGGGCTGGAGTTGCGCTATGATCACCGCGGTCGCCTATTTTACGTTGACCATGTGACCCGGACTACGTCTTGGTATCGGCCAAGTTTGGACCAGGAAGCGGGTTTAGCTAGATTAAATCAGCGCTCGGCTTTAGGTGCGCTCCAAGTAACAACTTTTCCTGGTCTTGAACGGTATATTGTCTTCTTTTTTTCTACTTTGTTTTTATCCTTTCCAAAGCAATCAGACTGCCGAAGTTCCCGCCATTGATCCGGCTACACTTCCTCTGCCGCCATACTGGGAGGAGCGGATGACTCCGACAGGAATCCGATACTACTTGAACCATCTCCTGCAACGGACTCAGTGGACAGACCCGAGATCTGAGTGGTTTGTCCCTACGCACGCGTGTCGAATTTCAGCATATAGCCTGCGCAGTGCCCAGATGCCCCTGCCAATAGGGTGGACGCAGAGCGTGACTATGGGGGGCAGAGTGTTTTTTATTGACCATATAAACCGCCGCACACAGTTTGAAGGTTCCCTCGCAGCCCATTTGAGTTTTCTTTTTTTTTCCTGAAAGAATTACTAGATCCGAGGTTGGACCCCACTTACATAGAACAAATGGAGAAGGTGCGCACCTCTCAGGTAGATCTTTTCATAGTCATGATACAATGATTGCAGGTAAATGCAAGCGTGCCGCGGTACATCCGTAACTTCCGCCACAAAATGTTTCTTCTGCACCAAACAATTGAGCAACTGCAGCAGCAGGTTAATGGTTGATTACAACAAATGCATCCTTTAAGTAGCCGTTTGTAGGGAGAATTTAAGGTTGAATGCAGACGAGGATCCATTTTTAGTGACTCTTACGAACAGGTATAACTTACTGGGTAAGCTTGCCTTTGTGCTCACCTCCTGCAGATCATCCACGCGCCCCTCTTGCATCTTCACCAGCGACTGGTCGTGTCGTTTATAGGCGAGGAGGGGCTTGACTACGGCGGCATTTCCCGGTGGCCATCTGGTGCTTTGACTATTATTATCTTTTTTCCTACTGCGTGCTATCTAGCGAATGGTTTTTCCTTCTATCGAATGAATTTATGAATCCCAACTATTGCTTGTTCGAATACGCCACTTCGAGTCGCAATACGTTAAAAATAAATTCCGAGTCGGGCATAAATCCAGAGCATTTGTCGGTGAGCCAAGTTTTATGCTTAAGTGTGAACGCCCGTCCCTCCAACTCTTCTTTAAAGTACTTCAAGTTCATTGGACGCATTGTGGGGATGGCGGTTTTCCAACGCAAGTTTATCGACTGTGGCTTCACTCTGCTCTTTTATAAAAAATTGCTTGGACGTTCGTTGCAGCTCGAGGACCTGGAAAGCTTAGACGTGGCGGTGTACAAGTCGTTGAAATGGATCTTGTGGGGATATTTATGACCTCACCTTTTTTAAGCTTTCTATAACTTCTTTTATAGAAAAAACTCTTTGGCCGGCTTGGATCTCGGTCTATTCTGTCTCTATTTATCTGTTAGAGCACATTCGAATACTCTTTTTGAGGAATGGTGTTTGCCACCGATTATGAAAAGTTTGGTTTCATTAAAAACATTGAACTAAAGCCCGGTGGAGCAGAGATAGAAGTTACTGATGACAACAAAGCTGAATATGTCGAGTTGATGCTAAATTTTCATCTCAATTACGGCACTGAAGATCAAATGCTTGCTTTCACGCGCGGCTTCGAAGATGTTATATCCGTGGAAAAACTTCAGATGTTTGATGAAAGGGAACTCGAGGTAGCTATTCGACGCATGCGCCGATTCGCGAGAGTGAGTCTTATTACGCTTGGGAGGTGTTGATCTGCGGAGTCACCGAAATCGACGTGGACGACTGGGAAAAGAACACCGTCCTCCGCGAATTCGCCAGAGACTCGAAGCAAGTAATATGGCTGTGGCAGGTTTGCTTCTGCCCTCCGCGCCATGACTATCACCTTAGCCGCCTTGCTATCATTCAAATTCAGTGTGTGAGAGCGTGGGACAACGACATGCGCGTGAGGCTTCTGCAATTTGTAACGGGGTCCTGTCGAGTCCCCGTCGGCGGATTTAAAGACTTACAGGGTAGCACGGCCTTCTCCACGTGATGAATGCATTCACTACTGCGTTGCTTTTAGGAAACAATGGACCGCAGCTGTTCTGTATAGAAAAAGAAGGTCATGAAAAGGCGCTTCCAAGAAGCCACACGTGGTAACGAAGTGTCAATGAGGCTGGAATAGGCATGTGTGTATCTTTCACGCAGCTTTAACCGTTTAGGGCTCCCCCCCTACCGAAGTTACCACCAACTGGTGAAAAAATTAACACAGGCGATCGAGGAGACGCAAGGGTTCACACAGGAGTGAAGTAACCAGTAAATAATTGTTTATTTTCACAGCTTGTTGGATTCTCGAATCACAGTGTTCATCAGGTCAGCTTCTTTGAGGGTGAGACCCATAAGCTCACTGAGCCGTTTGTTGTGGAAGAGAAGCTAAAGTCATTAATAAAACTCATTGAAACAAACCGTTTGATTATTAACCATTCAGACCTCAAATGAGTAGATAGAGCCCCCGTTCAACGTGGCCACGTAAAAAAAAACACTTTTCACGTGGTCCGTCAGACGAAATTCCTTTCGGATCCGCTGACCATCTTAAGAACCAATAAAGAGCGGTAAAGCGGGAGGTAGAGTCCGCAAATGTTGGCACAACCTGCGAGGTGTATCACGATGGTGGTAGCGCCCGACGCAGCGTTCTGTTGGGGCGAAAATGTTGTCTCTGTGCAGAATCCGAAACGTAAATAGCTTTATAATACGCAATCCGGTAGCAAGTACCTTCCAGTAACGAAGAAAGTGCGGCGACGGGCGGGCTACAACTCTCCCCCTTCCCAGGGGGGCTCTGCTCTTCGTCAAGCTCACTCGTGCTGTGGAGGGTAAGGGGGTGGTCGGACCCACTAAACAGCTCCGCTTGCCTTGATACTTTCGTACTGAGCGTGCACTCTTCAGTCGGATCATAGTGAGCTGCGTATGCCGGGCTTGTGGTACCAAAGTTGTTTTCGGTAACTTGTTGGAGTTGCTCTTCTTCTGAAGGAATACTCTTGGTGTAAAGTAGGGCCTTTAAAACAAGGCAACGCTAAACACTTTTAATAAAAAAAGCACACGTACAACTCTGAAATCATCCAAGATACCGCTGCTGGCAAGCAAGAAATCCTCTACTAACAAGATTTTAAAAGACATCAATAGTAGGATAAGTAGACAAAAAAAGGGAAAGGAACACAAACATAAGCAATTAAAGGAAACAACATCTACTTGAAGATTGGTTTTAAAGATTAGACGGTCGCTTAAATCTGATTTAACAGCGCCTGCGTCACAAAAGATCTCACTATAAGTGAGTTCAAAAAAGCGTAGATGGTACGACCAGTACGGGGATCGATCACAGCCACAAACGGCGCTTCTTCAAAAAAGTAGAGCAGACGCAGATGCTGAGCCTCGTGATGTTGTAAATCTTTCTAAAAGATAATAGAAAAAAAGAAATGTAAGCAATAAATAAGGTATCCATTTGAAAAACCACTTGGACCTGCCAAAAAATAAAGTTTCTGGAAATTAAATTTTGAACTTCGCTATCGTTCCAAAGATCTCTGTCGAGATTAAGACATTTTAAATCGTTGCTTCTCTGAATACTGACCAAAAGCCACTTCCTTTTAAAAACGCCGTGACGTTTTGCCTTCGAGCAAATGCTAAAAAAAAATTTGACACACCTTATATATTTTAAAAGTACAGCATCAAAAGAGCCCTTAAACAAAATTTCAGTGGGTGCTCTATACAACTTTTCAAGTCTTTTTCTACGACGAGTGTTGTGCTCGAGAAGCTCAGCTGCAAAAAAATTAATATTATGTATACTAAATTTAAAAACACGACTTTCTGGGGATTCAATATCTCTAAACGGGTGTCTACAAGCAGTTGAAGAGGTTTCTGTAAGCGTTTGCATGAATAACGTAGACTAAACTCTATAGAAGTCATAAAATTCTAAATGTACCAAAAGGATAGTGTTCTGAAGTTGAAGGGTCAAGAAGACGTGTTTTTTGATAGGGAATGGGCAAGCGTACATTTTCTTCATCGAAAACAAAGATAAGATATAAACTAAACAACACATGTTTATGTGTAAAAACCATTATTATCAAGTTCAACACTTTGTTTAAATAATTTATTTCGGTTCAGATGGGGAGAAGGAGATAACTTAGCTTTATTACTAAAATAAAATTATTTTCGACTTTTTTTAATTAGCAAAAAGCAAAATATAAATATAAAACGCTGAGTCCAAGTATTTATTTATAGCTACTTCAACGTCCCATTGGCTATCCTATAGCAAAGCAAACAAATTTTGCAAATCAAAGAATATCAGAAATAGTATACTTGCAAAACTTTTTTAGCTGTCTCTACACCAGTACCCGTTACAGTTATAAATTTAAGTAAATCTTCTTCGTAGCGCTCCATATTTAAATGGGTGAAAAGGTACTTGCAATAAAAACAAACATCGTATCTTTCACGATGACTATTTCTTGTAAGAAGAGTTTGAATGTTGTCTCATCAAGGTGAATATAGCCGACTTTGCCCCGCCGCGTGGCTATGCTCTGTGCATGGAAAAAGGTGACGGGTTGTACTTCTCGCCGGTAAGAATATGTCCAGCGGTGTAGTTGAAAGGAATCAAGGTCTTTTTCTTTCTGATATATTTATATCGTCTCTTCGTTCAATCTTCTCATTTGCTATTTCTTATTAAGATGCAACTGTTTATGTGGGTAATCTTGATGAACAGGTAACTGATGCCTTACTTTGGGAGTTATTCTTGCAGGCTGGTCCAGTGGGTACACTTTAACTTTTCTGATAGAAATATTGTTACACTGGTTACTATTTTTTTATATGAAACTTACTAAGTTTTATAAGTAATACATAAACTTAAAACTATTTTTATAATAAAATTATTTTTTAGTTAGTGTACACATCCCCAAGGACAGATTGACTCTCTTGCATCAAGGTTATATCCACAGTTGTTAATCATAATAAAATATTATATATTGAAAGGTTGTAGACATCAAGATCTTGTTTTTTGTTTAATAAAGTTTACTTTTTCATGTATCTTTTATAATTTTATTTTAGTCACTAAACTTTTATTTTTAACTTATGAAGGCTACGGTTTTGTTGAATTCCTCAGCGAAGAAGATGCCGATTATGCTATGAAGATTTTAAATATGATTAAGCTTTTCGGAAAACCCATTCGCGTAAATAAAGTAAGTTGCTACATTGCTGCTTGTTACTTTTAAATAAGTTATTTTTTATAATTAGGCTTCGGCAGATAAAAAATCTTTGGATGTGGGTGCTAACATATTTATCGGTAAAGTATATTATATTTATAATATCTTTTTTATTTTGCTTATGTATTTTATATTCTTTTTTTATTTTTACTTTCTGCCTTGTCTTGCTTGGCGCTATAATTTTATAAGCTCTTCTGTTTAAATGTTTAACTTATCGAGCATTCACACTTTTGCTAAGGAAATCTTGATTCGGAAGTGGATGAAAAGCTCCTGCACGATACTTTCAGTGCTTTTGGCGTTATACTGCAGCCTCCGAAGGCAGTTTTCTTTTTTCTGTTTTTCTTGTTGGAGTAAGAGAGATAAGCCAGTAGATCTTTACTTATCGAGATTTTATTACGTAGATCATGAGGGACCCGGAAACGGGGCTAAGTAAGGGTTACGCATTTATTAGTTATGCGTCTTTCGATGCGTCCGACGCTGCTATTGAGGCCATGAACGGAAGGCACATTTTTTTTGTTCTATTGCCGTTACGCTAAGCCTCGTTTTCTGTTTTTGCAGGTATCTGTCCACGAAGGCCATAAGTGTTTCTTATGCTTACAGAAAGGATGCGAAAGGAGAGCGACATGGATCCGCTCAGGAGAGAATGATAGCCGCCCAGAACCCACACATGGCTCAGATGAAACCCCACCAGTTCTTTGCCGATCAGGATGCCTCCAAACTACCCGTAGTTCCTTCAGCAGATGTACGAATTCTAGTTTATCACTCTTTTTTGGCATAAAACTTTAAATTCCACTCTGTAGCCCTCGTTGCTTCCTGGCATGCTTCCACATGGTCTTCAGCCACTTGCACCGCCGTTGCTGCCCCTGGGTCTGCCAGTGGGGATGCCTCCTAGGATGCCTCCCTCCATTGGTTTGCCCCCTGGACTTCCTCCGAGACTTCCACCCCCGGGGGTTCCCCCGCCTCCGGGAGTCCCCCCCATACCACCTTCTGGAGGTTAGAGAGCGGGCATATTTTTTTTTTTTTTACCAATTTTGTGTGTGCAGGCGCGCATCCCCCTTTCCCAACACACTCTAGCCCACCTTCCACTATAGGAACTAGTGGCTTTCGGGATATGAATAGTAGTATAACAGGGGAGTCTTCCAGCGAAACGTAGTTGCAAAACCGTAGTTTGTGGCATAGGAATTTAAATTAGGCCAATGAAAGCAATATTATTGTTTACTAAATATTTCTGAGCTATTTTTATAAAGTGTATTAAAGAGGATTGTTCGTATATTATTTTCTGAACTTAGTAACTAAGTAATAGTGATAGCAGTCAAAATTGCTAATTCATAGAGTTTACTAGCGATGCGTACCGGTTACGAGAAACATTTTCAAAAAGTAGCCAAAAATTCATAGTGTGTATAAATATCGTAATGAACACAAGATTTTACGAAAGAAACACTTTTGAGTTACATAAAAAAAACCCCCTCGAAACCTCATTACACTACAAACCTATAAGCAAGCAGAATAATAATAAACTAACTGAAATAAGTATACTTTTCCACTAGACACAAACTAAAATTTAATTGTTCTTATAAAAGTTTCACGTGGTCAGCAAGGGCTCGCCGGCCTCATTCTAACTATTATACTAGGTACTAGCACTATCTATGATAGTGCTAGTACCATACTTAGGACAAGCCTGGCTTTGAGCGCTCATACTGCATCTATCACTGAATACACTTGGTGAGGAATCTTTATGCTCAAATTATTTTTACCTGTTATTTGCACTTGAGAGCTAAAAGTTAAACGCCAAATGCTCGTATATAAAAAAAAATTGATCAGCGTTAAATTTAGTTGCTCAATTTTTTATAAAAAGTTTCGCTGAATGGGTACTAAGTTTATTTAAATAGAGTTATGAATACACAAAGCTAGTTTAAAAAAAGTATAAAAATAAACTGTTATTGTGCTTTATACTTTTAAACGGCATCAAAACAAGATATGATGAGGAATTGTTGCCATTTTTTATTAATTATTGTACGGGTTCCATATATTAATAACATCTTAACAGATAGATATACTCTACTGCAAAAGAAATTTTTTGTATTTTCCGAATAAGGTTTAACTACCAAGTATTCTTTTTCGTAGTCTAATGTTTATTAAAAAAAATTTCCAAATTTTTTACCTTTTTCTTTTGAGTCCAAAAATTGTAATATGAAAAATTTAACTACCCTACCATTTTCACTATAAGCTTGAGCTTTAAAGAACTGAAATGTTTAGTTTTCAAGTGCTTTTAGCTTTTGAGGCCTTGATTTTTCACTGCTCTCTCAGTACCTTTCTTCGATATTTCACTATCTTTGTGCTTTTTATCCCGAGCATGAATTGATGGAACCTGAAAATTTTGCTTTTTTCCGGAATTTAACATATGAACTGCCATACTCAAATTTTTAAACAAGGCCGTAAAGATCTTCATTTTTACTAAATTAATTTAAATTAAAATATTTGATTATTTTATCTACTCCTATTTAAACTTCTAATCTTGCTTCCCTAATAATCCTCAACTTAGTTTTAACTTTTAATGGGCTTCACTTTTAAATTTTCTGGCTAGCAGCAGCGTTAATAACCATACCTTCTGTGTATATTTAAGAAACAAAGTTTTTTTTTGGAAATAAACTATACATCAAAGTTTCAAGAGTAGTAGCCACTTTACTAAGTACTCAAATTATTTAAATCGCTGGTATGGTTCGGTCTCCTATTTAGGTCTTTTCTAAATTGTTATACTTAATTAAGGGATGACCGTCTAAGGGCCCAACCCTAATTAAACATTTAAGGGATGTGAGCGTCGCGCTCTTTCTTTGACATTTGTTATTGTCACTGTTTTTCGATGGTGAGCTCCGCGCGCATATATACCAGTAAACAGAACTCTTTAATACCACGCATATCTAACCCAAGCAGCAGCGGATCAGCCAGGCATGCAAACAACACTTATACAACTCTACCGTTACATCAGAGGCTCTGGGAGAGAGCGAGAATACCAATAGTTATCACTCATACTATGCCTTAAACATGAGAATTGCTTTCGACCGCACTTAATTGCACTCAAAGCCACCGTCAGATATAGTGCATACTCCAGTCACCAAGCTTTTACTCAAGGGTTCTCATGATCCCTCGAAGCGTCGTATTAATGATGGCTAATGGTATTCTCGCTCTCTTCCAAAGTCTCGGATATAACTGTAGAGTTGTATTAGTGTTGGTACTTGTTGGTACTTATTGGTACCATGCATGACTGATCCGCAGCTACTTGGATTAGATGTGCGTGGTATTAAAGAGTACTGTTTACTGGTATTATATATATGCGCGCGAAACAGGCGGCCCGGGAGAAATCAAATAAATTATACAGTTCTTCTTAATTTTAACTAACTATGCACTATATTTTTTCGTAATATAATTTAACATTATTCTCATGTTTATAATATGTTAGTTCTTGAAGTTATCGAGTCTGTAAGACCAACACTTGTTAAAAATTTAATAAATTAAAAAATGTTTGTTAGTTAATACTTTGCCTGTAGCTATAAAACCAAAGTACTCGTCTTATTGAAAAGCTTTTAATTTGCTAACCTAGTGCGACTGAACTTCATACATTAAATTATTTTTAGGTAGATACATTACACTACTATATCTCACGAAAAGCAGCTTCTTTCCCCTCACACACACACTGGTGGCCATCAACTTTATTGCTTCAACCACTCTTTTGGCTTGCCACTTAACTACGCTTGGTGTTCTTTAATAAGTTCACACTAATAAGGGCCAGGTGTATATCAATCATTGGCCAAATATAATTCATCACATGCGGTATACTTCTGTGCTCTTGACACGCCCTTTTCCAGCCTTTTAACATGCTGCTCTATCGTACAACTCTTTATTCTTGCGCATCTCATAATTCTTTGCTATTGCGAATAAAGGTTTCGCAGTGTTTCTTAAGCATTAATTTACACGCGGTACGTCTACTTCCCTTGCAACCAATTTTCTTTCTCTCCTTAGCCTGGCGGTTCATATGGACATATAATAGAACTGTTAGAGTTTTTTTTACTTCTCGCGTAATATAGTCAAAACTATAACTTTAGCGAATTATTAATCGAAAATAGTCTATTTATCTTTTTATTGCGTTCGCTATATTAATAAACATGAAATTAAACTACGGATGAATACTAACTCGCCCCAAGCACACACTAGTATTACTTGTGGGCTCTTTGCCGAGTAATTTATACTAATTACGGAAAAGTTCGTGAACATACATTAGCAACTATTAAGAAAAATGTAAACAAACGTAGCGCACGACGAGGTATACGGTAGAGAAGTTAACGTGTTACGCTTTAAAAATATTTAATGGTTGGACCTATAGAGCCTGCGCCCCTCATGACGGATTACTCACACCCACTGGGGACGTCTTCCTTTTGGAGTTTCGATTAAGCCTGACATGGACCAAACTGAAACATTCAAGTAAATAAGCGGGCAAACGTAAGGTAGATTTTTAATAATTCCTATTGTCAGAGGATAGTCAGATTCGTGTAAGTAGTAACAGTCTTAACCCCGAAAAGAGATTGTGGCAAAATACACCAAGCAAATACAATAAACACTTAAACATACTAAATATAAAGTAAAATTTAAGAACTCTATTATAATTACTTCGTAACTCGTCTCATACAATTCAATGACATTTATACTTTAATGTAAGAATGTATCAGCCTTAAAAGCACAGAATATATATAAATATTCCCTTCTTCTATCTTTTACTGCATTATAAATAGAGACCAAGTATTAAAAATATATAAATTTCTTAATGGTTGCACACACGTGCTTAATTTAATAAGTTGATTAGCTAAAAATGCGCATGTTATAAAAGAAGTGCCATCATCCAAGACGTTTTCAATACCAAGCCGACTTATGTCCCTCTCTTAAACGTAAACATTTAAGATTAACGGTTGATAGTTGGCTTTATCGCTACAATTCTTTCGATTATTTACGTTGTCGTTTTTAAAAAGGAAACAAAAAATTCACAATATAATATCATAGAAAGATTACGTAATGGAGAAACTAATTTGTATGCTATTTATTTAAGCAGCAATTATAAATTTATTATAGGCTTCTTAAAAAGTCTACATAGTTCAATTTAATTACTCTAAAGATGTTTAGGGCCTCGAATAATTAAAGTAAAAACTTCCCCGATATTATATCATATATAAATATTTTTAAAGCACTTTACTAAAAGCTTTTGGAGCTTTCCACCCGTGCATTAATAGAAAAGCTAAAATTATAATATTAATACTAAATATAGGTTTAAACATAAAATAATTTATAATTTCAGCATAAACTAAAATACAGCTTGTTAAAGGAAATATTGTTTCTTAAATTTTAAAAATCTTAAGTTCTATCTTACTATTAAATTCCAATACTTTACGTATGAGGAAATTTTTAATAAAATTGTTAAATTTTTGTAATCATGAAGTTTTATGTTAATAAATAACCTTTTTTATTACGCAAATTACACAGAAAAGCTCAATAATAATTTTTATGAAAAAACAATTAACCATGCCATGCTTTACTTCTTAATATTTTTGATTTTATACTCTTAAGGTTAGGCATTTGTATTGTAAGAACATTGATACTAGATAATATTATGTGATTAAAAAGCCATGGGTTACTAGTATTTAAATTTTTGCCATCGATAAAAGTATTTACGGACTATATGTAAGAGATTAGTTCTATACTTTAATTTATTTGTGGAAATTACTAAATATATATCTTTTGCACTCAGGCTTTATTTAATTGGGAATTGCAGTTAATACCAACTTCAAAATTTATTAACAAGAACCTTCAGCGAAGATCTTACAAATAGATCATACTTCTTTGTAGTTATTATCTTTATCACCTCTAGGTTTATTCAAGAGAAGCCCAATTATAATTCTCTACCTCCTTTGCATCTCTCTCCACTTCCTTCGAATTCTTTGGGATTTTACCTGATTGTTTATGGTTTTCTGCCTTTATGTTACTGTCACCACATAAAGCTGTTTTTTTTTGCAGAGACTCGTTCACTTTTAAGGTTTTGTTCAATTCATATACAACAACCAATTATTCCCCTTCAGTTTCCAATTCTTCATCTCACAGCTTCTTTCACTCCCGAATTTATTTAAACTAAGTTTTTAAGCGATTAACGCTAATTTTATTCCATATGTTACAACTATTTTTTTT